TGTAGAATAAGGGTAGGGCCAAATTTGTAAATATTTGTAGTCAAGTCAAGTCAGTCAAGCAGTATAGTCAAGCAGTAACAAGTAGCCAGTAAGAAGAAAATACAATAAATCGTCTATAGAAGAAATCCGTCTTTGTTTTCACCATCATCCACGGTTATACAACATCGTCTACAGTTTGGTCCATAGAGCCGGATCAGCACCCTTCTACAAAAATATTTTTTGATGAATTATAATGTGACGGAAGTAATACTTGATAAAGTCTGTGACATGCTGATAATTTGTACAAAAATAACTTTGTTATACTTAACAAAACGATTGGAATATATCCGAAATTTCATTTTCGAAGAAAGAATAGGGTTCCTAATGCGACGCGAAAGTGGAAGTACATAGAAGCATGGGAAGGCAACGCACGGCAAGGCACACCTTCCACGATCAGATTAATCACATTTAAGTTATTTGAGAGCCTTAAAAATGACATGCTTATGTATAATAGGTGTAGTAATTAGCTAAAGTATGATTCATTCACTTAGTACAACAGTCAGCTATCACCCACAGTTATGGTTACGTCGGCTATGGACGATGGCCCTTTCCAACAACCCCATTAATTTACTTTAAGCGGGGGGTTAAAATTTGATATAGTTATATATTTCAAAATCATGCTGTAAGAATTGTGTTGTTAATACATATACCTAAGACTTATTTGCACGACTTTTATTACTTATGGAAGAATTGAGAAAAAAAAATGTCAGTATTCGTAACTTTAATTTCAATAAATCCAGTGGAATTCAGGCGATTTTAACTTTAATTATACCCACTTTCTAATTCAGATACATAAAAAAAATTCTTAAATAAAGTTACAAAAACGTTCTTGTTCTATATTTGAGCTGACATACAAAGATTTCAATAATTTTTAAATATTAAAATTAAATGTAACACCAAATTGATATCAGCGTCTAACAATTTCTTTTTTTTTATCTCCTCTCATTTAAAATATAATATTCACGTTATTGTAATAATTTCTTTTATCTACCGTCCTCATATACTTTCCGATCAAAACGCCTAATTGAAATCAATTCACAAACCAGTGACCTCACTCTATGATCATTGACTAATAATTGAAGGATCCATAACTATGTCATATGATAAGCACATCAGTGATCTGTGAAAATCAATGGCCTCGACCCAAGTCATTTTTCATGTAGCAAGACCTGTTTTAAGAGCGCGCAAATCGTTTAGTCACCCTTTGAATCAACACTGATCTGTGATCAGCGTAATCTATCTGCGCTGGCGCACACGATGCTTCCGTGTCCATTAAATACATCCACTGTAGCGATAGCGGACTGTCTAGTGCAAGTCAAAAGATTTTTGCCAAAGCCTGTTTTATACTGGAAGAGTAATTATACTTTTAGTTTGTTTGGTTGAAAGCTCTTATATCAGAAACTACTGAAAAATTATTTTTGTGTCGAGTACTAACGGGAGTGGAACAACAATGAAAAATGTTGAAAAAACGGGAAAACAATAAGGGCGATGCGGCTGGCGATAAGCTAATAATATTAAAACGGCAATGGACTGAATTCTTCTTTTTCTCATTTTCACATCCACATGTTTTAATTGATTCAAAGGTTAAAACTTAGGTAATGGTAAATTTCAAATTTCCATAGGAATTTTGTTATAGTAGTGTACACCTTGACCCATAAATGACGATAGACCTAGAGCGTACCTAGAGTGAAATTTGTAAAATATTATAATATCGATATTTGCTCCAATAAACGATTCACATACGTTTTTTTCATTTTATTTTACGTACATCTTATAATAATTTATAAGTTATTATGTATTTAATGTATGTTTATAAGTCTGGATAATTTATAAAGAGGCACAACGATGCATGAGGCGATACTTTAGGACGTATATATCTATACAATAGCCTAATTTCAAAGGTGATTTGTTAACCAAATGCTGATGAAATCACTACGCTGCCTCCTATGAGTTAAACTACTGCCGTTTCATTGTATCACTTGCCAATGTATTCATCCGCAATAATATACGATTCGTGCGTGAATGACGAGAAATCTTAACAAATGCAGTAAATAATATAAAGAAAAGATCTATTCTGTATGTAGGATCTACACAATTCAATTAAAAGATTACACATATTTATAGTAATCAATCACTTGAAGTATCTTCTGCCAAACAAATAACAATATACTGTCATTATTCAATAATTTCATATAACTTTTGCATTAACTATAGTTAGAAGAGCTTTATTGAATATTAGCTCTCCACCAGCGGCTTTGCCCTTTGGTATATATGAGTACAATGACTTGATTGTAGGTACATTTATGCCCAGGGAACCAGGGTAAACAAATTATCCATATACCAAGTCTGTTGAAAGTTTAACAAACACACATCCCGATAAATTTTCACATTATAATATTAGTAGGATATATAAAAAATTACAGTCATTCTCTCGATATGTAAAAATTTGAAATTACGTTTATTAAGTCATAATAAAAATATTACAAGGCTTTTTAATTTTAAATTTGATTATTAAATCATGTTTTATTAGATTAATAATTTCAGAGTTATGTCACTTTGAACATTTTATAAATTACCATAGTGTAGTTTTAGGATAGTTTAAAGAAAGTACCTAATAAAAATATATTTATTATTGTAGACATAAAACACAAATAAATTCATCAGTTAGTTTTCAATACAAAAATAAAATTAAATGCTAAGTGCTCTGGTAAGTTAGAAATTAACATAGTAAAAATAATTAAAAGTTAAGTTGTATAGTTTAGTATTTTAGTTAATTAAATTGAGGATTAAAATATTGTATTAATCTAAAATGGAATATTTTAGTAACTGATATAAAGCTGATGATTAATTGATGATGTTATACTATATTATCATAAAACTATTTATGGGGGGTACCAAAAAGTTCCAAGTAGGGATGGTAATGATAAAAAAATGCTATTACCATTTTAAAAGGAAATTTCAAACTATGATCTCACCTAACAGATGCCATCAAATCACCATAATATCCCTATGATTTAATATTTAAATTAAAATTCTTATGAAACTTATAGGTGGGTATATTATAACCAAACTTTTGTATAATTTTATATCATGTTGAAGTAAATATCCGTGTATATCTTTCATATCTTCTTAATTCTCTGGCAGATTTTTTCATACTAGAAAAAAATGTTTATTATTTCTAGAACTTATTAGAGCAAGATTTTGATAATAAGAATGTCTAACATTAATAATAACATCTGACATCTTAGAATTAAATGCTAATAGTTTTTAATGATTTGCCTTTTTATTTGAAAAATGCATGACCATTTTATCACACCAGTTATAGAAAGAACTGATTTCATGATTTGTTGGACCAATGTTAATGTTCTACTTTGATTTCTCTCTTTAAATTATTAACGCTTGCTGATGTTTATGAAGCCTCTACAAAGAACTTAAAAAGACTGTGACTGCAAGTCTCAATCTTTGCAGTTTGTAATACATAATCTTCTATGCAACTACACACATTAGGTCCACTGTTACTGCCATTTAAATTTTTAGTTATACATAAAGTGCCTTATGTTCTCAGCCTTAGACATAGAAAAGCTTTATAAGGTAAACTTTATAGATTTTTCCAATAATAGTTATTATTATAATTAAACAATATATAGCACATGCCAAGAGAACCAAGTTAGTGTAAATTAAACAGATTGTTTTGATCCAATAACTATGATAAAGAAAAAAAATTGTATTTAGTCTTATACATTATCTTATTCTTGTGCCCAAACAGGTCCATAGTAAGTCTAACTAAACCTAAACTATGTAACATGTTTTAAACCTGTGGACACCATAAAATTGTGAAGTATTGAGTACATTTGCTTTTGAGAAGAAATTGGGACTCTGTACAGCTGCTCATTGGTAAAGGTTTAGCCTAAATGGCTTGATGCATTCAAAAGTGGGATTTCTTGTTAATATCATATTTATATTAAATCCCCTGAAGTACACATCAATTACTCTTTCCCTTTTATATATTACTATTGAATATCATCCACTGATACTCTCAACTAATGGGCAAAGTTGGGGTTAATTTATATTGTTACCTTTTCTTGCTTTGCAAGTTTGTGACGTTAAAATAATTAATAATCATTATTTTTATATGTACTAATAATTTATTTATTACAGAACATTATTTAAAGAAACCAATTGATATAAATTATTCATTCACTTTTTGCAAAAGTTTAATGCAAACATGCAACATAAAGTTTATAAAAATATGAACTTTATAATGTGAATAACTGACTGAATTGTAATTTCTATAAAAATATAATTGTACATATATGTACACTACTTAACCTCCAATATATTTGACTAATAATCTATGAAGTACAGCAATAAGTTTTACTTCAAATAGTTAGTTTTGAATTATGCCTTTTATATGAGTGTACTAATAATTTAATTATAGATTCTAATAATTGAAATAATTTAAATAGAACATCTTTTTCAACTTTATTTAATAAATTTAAAATAGTAAAAGAACAAGATAAACTATACACATTTAAATAAAATTGTTCTTATTTTATTCCCTTGAATTGAAATTAATTTATGAAATATACCTACGTATTATGAATCACCGAACGGGAAGGCGGCAAAGAGCTATTAAAGTTAAAAGTACAAAACTGGTTGTAAAATGTAAATATGTAAGAATTGGTTGCAAGGTTAGGTCATGGAACGTCACACTAATCTGATTATGATTTTATCTATTACGAAAGGAGCTTGTCCGTGTTACTGTTAACAGTGGAAACATGTCACATTCTGTGAAAAGGCGGTGCCGACCGTTCGTTCGTCGCCAAGCTTGGGCGATGGCGGTCACCTAACGGCCAATTGATGACGTTTAATAATCCAACATTAGAAAATCAGGATGCATTGCCTCGTTATAACAACAATACAGTAAAAACACAATATCGACATAATTTAAATGAACTCACCACATGACAACGCTAAATTAAATAATTTCTACATTCACTCACAACACTAAACACTCCACATCCACCCACGATTTGACATAACACAGACTAATTATTATGAATGAGTTTTCCAGTGCTGCCAACTATATTAATTTCGACGCCAAAAGAGTGAGGGAGAGAGAAAGCTACACCTAGCATTGTGATTTGATTGAAGAAGATCTATATTTTTATCAGGAACCTTACAGTAAATTTCATAATATCGACATCATGTAACTTCCTCATTGTTATTGAATAAGTTGGCGTAAGATCCACAGATATAAACGCGCTGTATTGGACGCCATCAAAACCTATCTATGCCATACAAAATATAATAAATCTGTTTACCATAATATCCATGCCAAAAATTTTCTCACTTGTACAAAAACCTACAAAGACGCCTAATGTGGCACGGTCATTCGCTCTATATTTGTTTTACAAAAAAGGGCAATAAGATCTAATAAGATCTATCAGTTGGGTTCGCGAATATCTCTTAGAGAGAAATTTAAAGAAATTGGAATATTGACGGTTGCATCTCAATTTATATATAGTTGTATACTTTTTGTCCGGAACAATATTAATGTGTATACCAAACATAGTGATGTACACAAACTTAATACTAGAAATAAAAACAAGCTAGTAGTGCCTTCTTACAGGTTACAGAAGGTATTAGGTTCTTTCATGGGTCAAGGTATACAATACTTTAACAAGATCCCCAGTGATGTATTAGATTTGCCAATAAATCATTTTAAAAGTCATATAAAAAGTTGTCTACAAAGTAAAGGGTATTATACCGTTAAGGAATATTTAAATGACAAAAAGGCATGGTGTTAGATATTTTAACTTTGTTGTATTTACTTTCTAATATTGTAATGGAAAGTGACTTCATATTCTAATGAAGTCACTTTTCAATAAGACTTCTCTGTGTGAAATAAAACAGGGAGAAAAAAATAGCCCTTGCTGAGTTTCTTGCCGGTTCTTCTCAGTACAAGGTCTCCCGCCGTAGTTTTGCGAACCGATGGCGTAGTTTTCGACTTTCACAAATGCTCTGGACTTTCACATATGCTATATAACAGCATAGACTGAATTGATTTTGATATTTATATTAATATAATTCGACGTATGGATGCATAATGGCACATATGGAAATATGGCACATAAAATAACAAGTTGAATTCAGCGCTCCGCTTTTTTGCTCTTGATTCCAAACCTGAATTCGGATGAATCGAGTTTATTGAAGTTACGAGCAACCAATAAGTTGGCTCATCACTAATGTTGACATAAACCAAACATCGTAACTTTATACGTAACATAATAAATAATGTAAACTTACGATTCAAATAAAATAAAATAAATTTGAAAGTTAGATATCACAAGAAACAAGAAACGATGTCATATTTATCAATTTTCGATACTCAATTTACTTTTATTGCGTCAGAAACAAAATTTGAATGAATATCATAGTCAAGATCCAAACATCGCTAGTGGCATGTAGTTGGATTTCAAGAACTAATTTTTGCTTTTAAATACTTCCTCATTGAATAGTATCGATTTTTTTTAAATTAACATTTGATTATCCGTATTACCTGTATAAATAATTTACAGTGTACAATAGTGGCGTATCGTCATTTTAGATGGACACTCAAGTTAGCCAATAACAAATTTGTTATTCGAAGTTTGACTGCCCTCATTAGTGTTTGTTATTACACGTGTTTAAGGGATTTCGTTTGTTTTGTTAATTTTAAGCCTTCTTTCTACGCGGAACTGCGATATAATTAAGTGTTTGTGTTTTGTCCTAACATAAGGTGTTGGTAAGTACCTATTTATTTGTTCTCCTGTCCTTTCCATTGATTACAAAGTAATCATGGAAAGGACCCCTCCGGATCCACCGGATCCACCGGACCGGTCTCCGACGCATTATTCATCAATGGAACTTTCACCTCCTTTATTTACCCAGACTAGCCTCAAACGACGTAATGATACTGAACCCGAGGTAAACGACGCGCCTTCTAAAAGAATAATTACTGAGTCCTGTCAGTCGGACACATTAGACCCCTCTCCTGGCATATACACCCATCCCTTTTTAAATCAGTCAAATAAACAATATTTAAACAGTGATAAGGGACCATTCATTATACATGTTTCTAAAATTGAGACAGATCTTTCATCTGGCACATCTATTCACCCTATCAAATTCGGGCAATTTTTAGTTAAAAACAAAGTTGAAAACATATTGAATGACGGTATAAAAAAGATAGGTCGTAACAGGATATCTGTGGAATTCAAAACCAACACTGACGCTAATCAATTCTTAAAAAACCCTTTTTTATCAATATATAAATACAGTGCTACAATTCCCAACTACAACATTACTCGCATGGGCATCGTTAAAGGTGTTCCCTCGGACTTATCAATGGAAGAGTTTGTAGATTCTTTAGTTGTTCCCGTTAACTGTGGAGTGGTTCTGAAAGCAAGACGACTTAACAGAAAGTCAATCTCTGAAGGGCAAGTATCCTGGGTCCCCACACAAACAGTTGTTCTCACATTCCAAGGGCAGGTTCTCCCTAATAGAATATTTGTATATCATACATCCTTGGCAGTAGAGACATACCAACTCCCAACTATTCAATGCATGAACTGCTGCAGGTTCGGACATATTAAACCCCAATGTCGATCCAAGCCACGTTGCTTCCGCTGTGCACAACCACACTCAGGTCAGTCTTGTATGGTAGAAGAATCAAAGGCAACCTGCCTTTACTGCTCAGGATGCCACTTTGCATCTAATAAGAACTGTCCAGAACATTCTAGGCAAAGATCTATTAAAATATCAATGTCTCAAGACAACATATCCTACCAAGAGGCATCAGAAAGATTCCCCTCGGTAAGGAGATCTTATGCTGATGTCGTCCAATCTCCAACCCAAGCTACATCCCTTCCTCAACTCCAATCCTCTCCCAAGGCCTTAAGTCCTTCATCCTCATATAAAAAATTGGTTACCAAATCCCCCAAACCTAGAGCTCCTTCAAATATTGGATTTGATAGAATAGCTCATCAGGCTATTGTCCAAAACTGCCCATCTTCGCTCCCTAATGGTTATGCCCTTAACAATGATAACTCAACTATCCTCTCTGAAACCACCCCCAATGATAACTTGTTAGATGCCCTTTTGTCCTTTGTTTTCAGCCTTCTTAACAGGTTTGATGATATTCCTATACCGTCCAACGTTGCACATAGAATAAGTCAACTTAATAAATTTATTTACAATAATAAAAATGGCGAAGATAATTCAGTGGAATTGTTGTAGTATAGTACCCAAAACTTACGAATTAAATTATCTCATTAATAAGTTCTCTCCGTTCATTCTTGCCTTATCGGAGACATGGTTGGTGCCTGGTAACACCTTTGGTGTTTCAGGGTACTCTTGTCTCCGGGATGACAGAGCTGATGGATATGGTGGAAGTGCTCTGTTGATTAGTTACTCTCTTCCTTTTAATCAAATTAACCTGACACACAACAACTGTATTAATGCAGTAGCTGCAAGAATTTCAAATATATCTTACCTCTCAATATATATTCCCCCGCAATCAACGCATAGTTTAGTTATACAAGAATTAAACTCTATTTTATCATCCCTCCCTTCACCCATAGTAATAATGGGGGATTTTAATGCACACCATGTTTCATGGGGTTCGTATACTAATGACTCGCTTGGTTATCAACTTCTAGATCTTATCGACGATAGAGACCTCTGTGTTATCAATGATGGTAGTCCCACCAGGAGGACTCGTCCTAACCAAAATCCATCAGCAGTAGACCTCACAATTTGTCCCCCTTCTTTGGCATCCGATGTGGCCTGGAATGTGCTAAACAGCACACATGGCAGTGATCATTTTCCAATTCTTATTTCGATATTAGATCACACTTCCCCTACCAATCTCCACCCCCCCTTACTTCAGTTTAGGTTACACAAAGCTGATTGGTCGACCTATACCAGAACGCTGGACAGCAATTCTATTTCACTTCCTCCAATTACTACAGAAAATCATCAAAAGGCTTACGACATGTTTACTGAGATGTTAATAGACTCTGCTGAAACCAGTATTCCGAAGAAAAACAACATTCGTAAAAAAGTTCCCCCCCCTTGGTGGGACTCTGAATGCTCAGAAGCTATCAAAAAACGTAAAGAGTCTGAGAAAACTTACAGGAACGCCATGACCATGGATAATTTTGTAGCTTACCAGCGAGTCGCGGCTCAAACCAAAAAGATGCTTAAATACAAAAAAAGAATTGGTTGGATTAACTTTTGTGAATCGTTGGCTCCTGGCACTCCATCGACAATAGTATGGAAACAATTAAAAAGATTCCGTAGGGCTCGCAACCGTGCGAATCTGACGGCTAATGATCCCTCTATCTGGATCGATCTATTTGCCGATAAATTAGCCCCCCCATTTGCCCCAAATTTTGATTGCCTTCCTGTGAAACTACATGTCACTCTGTCCTCTAAAGACAACTTGGATGAGGTCTTTTCATTTGAAGAACTCCAAAAAGCTCTTTCTGGTTTAAGGGATACTTCTCCAGGCTTGGATGGCATTCCATACTCTTTCCTGATAAGAGCCTCCGACAAAATAAAACAATATTATTTAAAATTGATTAATTCATTTTACGATACCGGTTCCATCCCAGTTCAGTGGTCTAAGCAAATAATCATCCCTTTAATCAAACCAGGGAAAGATCCCTCTAATCACTCTTCCTACCGCCCTATTGCCCTATCATCTGTCCTCCTAAAAATCATGGAACACATGATTAAAAACCGCCTGGAATGGATTGTGGAAAGCCGTAATATCATTGCTAAATCTCAATATGGTTTCAGAAAGGGCTTTAGTACCATGGACAGTTTAAGTTTATTAACATCGGATATTCGATTAGCATTTCAAAACAAAGAATACCTTCTTGGTGTCTTTCTAGATGTTGCTTCTGCTTATGATAATGTCCTTATTCCAGTGCTCAGGCATAAAATGCATCAGCTGAGTGTTCCTGAGAAATTAGTTCGGTTCATTTGCAACTCAATCACAACTAGATCCATCCTGATAAGGCATCAAAATCATTCACTGGCAAGGACGGTCTGGAAAGGGTTACCTCAAGGATCAGTCCTTAGTCCTATTTTATATAGTTTATACACGCATGATATGGAGCTTTCCACAAATTGCTTTTGCAACACTCTCCAATACGCAGATGATATAGCTCTATACGTACGAGTAAAATCCATACCGGAAGCAACTTCACGTATGAACTCTGCTCTAAATCACCTCGGGGAATGGTTAGAAAAACACGGTTTATCAATTTCCCCACCAAAGTGTAGTGCTGTTATCTTTACCAAAAAACGAAATGTTCCTACTCCTGTTATAAAATTTCAAAATTCTGTCATAGACATAAAAGACTGTGTTAAATTCCTAGGTATGATTTTGGATTCCAAACTATCGGGAACGGCTCACTTCAATAATGTTGCCAACAAGGCAGAAAAAGGTGTCAATGTTCTTCGTGCGCTCTCTGGTGTTTGGTGGGGTGCACACCCAGTTACCCAAAAACTAATATATAACGCCATAGTGCGCAGTCACTTTGATTATGGTTCCTTCCTTCTCGACCCTTGCAATGTATCCGCATTAGACAAAATAAACAAAATTCAATCGAAGTGTTTGCGTATTATTCTAGGGGCTATGAAGTCCTCCCCCATTAATGCCCTCCAAATAGAGGCTGCTGACCCCCCCCTTTTTCTTCGTAGGCAATATCTTAGTGACAGATTTTTCCTCAAAATTTTACAAAATGAATCCCACCCGTTGCTAGCTATTCTACACAAACTTGTCGATGTTACCGTCATAGGTCCCAATTCACATCAAAAAATTCCCTGTATTTTAACGAGTTACTCGAAGTTCTGTCGCCCTTCTATAATGATCGAGAAATTCCCCCGTAATCCTCTATTCCTAAATAGCTTTGAATCGTTGCTTTTTAACCCTAACATAGTACTGAATTTGGGTATTGAAAAACATTCTCCCAGTGCAAACCAAGATTTAAATAAAGTAATTGCTAAAAACTGGCCTCATTGGCTTCTAATGTTTACGGATGCCTCAAAACTGTCAAATACGAGTAGTGTTGGTGCTGCAGTGTGGATACCTAAGTTTAGTATAGTATTAAGTTTTAAAGTTCCTTCACCCTCATCGGTCTTTACAGGTGAGGCAATAGCTATTCTAGAAGCAATCTTATATTGTGAATCTCACAACCTTAATGAAACTTTAATTTTATCTGATTCAATGAGTTGTCTTCAATCAATCTCTTCCAACCCTTTCAGGTCTAAATCTCGCTTTCCTATTATACTTAAAATCAGAGAAGCGTTATATAGATGTAGAAAGAAAAACATAGAACTAGTGTTGGCTTGGATCCCAGGCCACAGTGGCATAAAAGGCAATGATTCGGCGGATTCATGTGCTCGTACAGCAATATCTAGTGGTATTGCAAGCTATCCCAAACTACCATGTCAAGATTTTCTCCCTCTTACTCATTCTCATTTATATCAGTCGTGGGAAACACATTGGCAGAATACTCGAATAAAAACCGGTAAATATTATTACGACATCCAGCCAATAATTCCCTATAAACCTTGGTATCACCGTCGGAAAAATGTTCCAAAACAAGTGGTTTCAGCATTGTGTCGCCTCCGACTTGGACACTCTTGCGTACCTGTCCACTTAGCCAAAATTAAAGTTAAGGACAATTCCCTTTGTGAATGCGGACTGGATGAAGGATCAGTCGAACATGTGTTATTTGAATGCCCCAAACTTCGTTATTCCTTATATGATTCCCTTCCAAATGATATACCCCGGCCCCTAAATGTCAAAAATATCCTTCAACTAGTTAATTCACCTTTGCTAAGCATACTAATTAAATTTATATTAAATAACAAAATTAAATTGTAAAAGTCCTGCCTATTTAATCGGTATTCATAGGTGTATTTGTTGTGTTATGTCCTGCATGTCGTAAATGTGTTGTATTTTGTTTCAGGATCGCTAAACTGTCATAGGAAGTGAATTAATTTTTAATAAGCCTTTTCCAAAATTCTTTTTTTCTCATAAATATCCCTACCGTGTAATAGCTTTTCACGTGAAATTGGCAGAATTGTGCGAAACGCGCACAAAATTAGTTGTCACCATAGATAAAGAGTAAATTGATCATAGAGTATGAGTATCTTTTTATGTCAGTTGAAATTGTAAATAAAATTGTCTTGTGTGGAAAACAAAATTGTTTATTTCGTTCTCAGTATGTTTCTTACGAGATATTGCTCTAGAATATCTAATACTGCAAAAGTAATTAGAAGCCACAAATTTCTTGTAAAACAAATATTATGTGAATGTAATAGTGTTCAGTTACATAGGTTAGAAATGGTTTTAGAATTTTCTTCTTGATAATATTTATTGATATTATTTCTTTTAAATAAAGTTATTCCATTTCATATTATAATGCATTATTACAGGCACTTATTAGTGGCAACGCCAATGAAAAATATTGAAGATAAAGGCACTGGAAGACCGATTAAAGAGACTTCATCAGACATAGGAAAAAAATATTTTTCCCCTACAGATTTATTAGAAAAATTAATAGCCGGTCTCTCGTCTGACATTCATCAGAAAAATAGAGTATATAAGAATGATTTATTAAGAGTTGTTAATAAAATTAAAGAAATGAACTTTTCAACTAAAAAACAGAGTTTGCTCTTGATTCGATGCTGTACAGAACTATTACCTGATGAATCTCCAGCATCTAGGTTGAACTTATTAGACGAAATATGGAATGTTCTCAAGTAGGTGGATTTATTATGTATTTGTTTTATTTCATGTTTCCATTTCTGATGTTGTACTGACTGCACTTCATATAGAAATCCCTAACTAACAAAGGTTTTTTAAGCTGGTGGTGTTTAGTGTAGATATGTGTAGGATCAGCTACATGTCAAGACTATACAAAACTTAAAATTTAACCACCTGTGTTAAAACCTTAATAGGTTTAGGGTAGAGGTAAATCCGTTGTAGAATTTTGACATATTATGGTAAAATGTTCAGGTGATAAATTTCATAGTACAATAATTTTTATATCTTGCTACTTTAAACATTCTCAAATTGTTCTTAAATAATTATTAATTTATTTTACAGGTTACATACTGAATTTGATGTTGAACACTATAATGAGTTGCTCCGAGTTTATATAACCAATAGCAAGAATATTGTTGCAAGCTCCTTCATCTCTCAAATGTCACCAGTTAAACCGAATATGACAACATATGAACTGATATTGAAGTCTCTAGCAGAAGTAAGTTTATATCTTTGTAAATTTTTATATGCTACTGGCCGACCCGGCAAACACTGTTTAAATATAAATTTGGGGTTAACTGCCTTTATCACTTAGGTCAATATTGGTCAAGCCATTCCAGAGGTGTATGAGAATATTTATTAGATTGTATTATATATTAGATTATAAAATCAAGGTTATTTGTTATATCATATCAGTCTCTTGTTTATTTTCCAAGCATTTATTTAGATCTTCTTCTTTTAACGGGTATCTCTGCAAATTGAAGTTATAATTTTGCATGTGGAGGGTGTGAGCCTTCTTGTCTATGATGAGCTCCTGGAGGATACCCGAGGTACTTTGCCTGGCTGAAATGAAAATGAAATGAAATGAAAATATCTTTATTCAAGTAGGCTATTACAAGCACTTTTGAATCGTCCAAAAAACTTTTTTCCCCTACCACTTGTTCAGGACGTCTTTTAGCTGACAAGAAGAACAAGCGAAAGAAACTTATCAGCTTTTTATCATAAGTAATGACATTTACATAAATCATGTCATTACCAAAATAATATGTATTATCAATTTATCACAATAGTAAATACAACTTTCAAAGTCTGTAGGACATAAGTTGAACATATAATTAGTCTTTATAGAACAAAGCGAAGGCTATTAATTCCATGCATTGCGATCCTTAAAATAATCATCAACTTTATAATAGCCTTTACTCACAAGTATATTCTTTACATGAATTTGAAATTTATTTATGGGTAGGTCAATTACATTTTGTGGAACTTTATTGAACATAGCAATACATTTACCCAGAAATGATCCTCTGGTTTTTTGAAGTCTGAAGCTTGGAACGGCAAGTTTATCTTTATTTCTTGTGTTAAGATTATGAACACTACTTTTTTTTGTGAAGGAATCGTAATGTTTTCTTGTATACATAATATTCTCATAGATGTATTGAGAGGCAACAGTCAGAATATTTATTTCTTTAAATATTTCTCTTAGAGATTCCCTAGACCGTAAATTATATATAGCACGGACAGCTCTCTTTTGTAAAATAAAAACATCCTGAATGCTAGCCGCAGAACCCCATAACAATATACCATACGTCATTACACTATGAAAATAACTAAAATATACCAATCTTGCCGTTTCAACATTTGTCAAGAGTCTAATTTTCTTAACAGCAAAAGCTGCAGAACTCAGTCTACTTGACAAGCTATCAATATGAGGATCCCATTGCAGTCGGGAATCTAGTGTAATACCAAGGAACTTTGTCGATTCTACTAACTCAACTTTTTCACTATTTACATTTATAAGTGTACTGACATGCCTCACATTAGGTAATGCAAACTTTATGCATTTCGTTTTATTTGAATTGAGCTTTAAATTATTATTATCAAACCACTGTAGAACGTTGTCGAGAGCATTATTTACATCGTCAAAACAATCATTACCCCTCTCAACTTTAAACAGTAAAGAGGTGTCATCTGCAAATAATACTGTCTCGCACAAATTCTTCGTAAAGTGAGGAAGATCATTTATATAAATTAGAAAAAGCAATGGTCCTAATATCGATCCCTGAGGTACGCCCATAGTAACTGGTGCCCCTGCAGATTTCGCTTCATTGATTACTACCTTTTGTATTCTAGCAGAAAGATATGATCTTATTAGATGAAGTGAATTTTTCGTCACACCATAATGTTCTAATTTCCCCAACAGTGTTTCATGACTAACGCAGTCGAATGCTTTTGATAGATCACAAAAAATGCCAATAGCATCTTGTTTATTCTCCCAAGCATCATAGATATGCCTCAGAAGTGCAATTCCAGCGTCTGTTGTACATTTACCTCTTCTAAAGCCAAACTGATTTTGGTGAAGTAATTTATTTAATGAAAAGTGTGCAAGCAGTTGATTGTACATCATTTTCTCAAATACTTTACTTAATGCTGGTAGAATAGAAATTGGTCTGAAATTACTAGGATCAGACTTGTCGCCTGCCTTGAAAAGTGGGATTATTTTACCATATTTCATTAAATCAGGAAAAGTTCCTTCATCAATGCACTTATTAAAAATAAAAGTTAATTGAGGTGCTATAGCTGGTATTATAGATTTGATAACATAAGTTGAAACGCCCCAAAGATCTTCGGTTTTTTTGACATTAATACAATTAAATGTTTTAATAATTGAGCAGACGTTAACGTGTCTAAAATAAAATTCAGTATTGCACTTATCAACAACTGACTCTAGATGCGTAACCGCAAGTTTAGAACATGAACTAAGATTTCTTGTGATTTCTATTGGTGTCTTAGAAAAGAATTTCTCAAATGTCTCGGCAACCGCTTCATCTGTTTTAATAATTTTATTGTCAACCTCTAATGAGTATGTGCGCATATTACTTTTATTTTTTCCCGTTTCTTGATTTATGATAGTCCAGGTTGTTTTTATTTTATTTTCTGAATTGTAAATTTTTTCAGATATATATTTTGCTTTTGCTGAAACACATACTTTCCTAAAAATTTTCGAATAATTTCTGACATATTCAATAAACTTTGGATCGGTCGAGGTACACTTTAGCTCATACAAATCATACAGCCTATTTCGACTTTTGTAGATGCCAGGTGTAGCCCAATCACTAAATTTCTTTTTTTGGTTAGTAAAGTTAATTGTTTTGAGTTTAAATGTTTTATCAAATTCTCCCTTTATCAAGTTAAAGAAATTATTATAAACATCATTTATATTTTCCAAATTACTAGTTGTCAACTGAGTATGATTTGCAGAAACACTGTTTTTAAATTTTTCTAAATTACTTTTGGTAATAGGTCTACAAATTATATTGCATTTAGGAGAAACATGATGGTGCTCGAAAGTTGCTAGAACTCCGCTATGGTCAGATTGAATACAATTTATAATCGATTTTTTGAACACCTTACATTTACAAAAAATATTATCTAAGCAAGTAGCAGATGTGGGTGTAATGCGGGTAGGTTCATTAAAAATATTTTCTAAATTAAAACATTTAAACAAGTTCAAAAATCTACTTGATTTAGTTTCTTCTGCCTCAATGCGTCCTCTGCCTAAGGGGCTGTCAGTGACACCTACATTGAAAAGGTGCCTGTTACCATGAGCAACAATGGTTTACTTAACTGTAGGAGGCACTTGGAAGGAAAAGTCAAAATTTTGTATGTGGAGGGTGTGTGCCTTCACGTCTGTGATGGCTTCTTGGAGGTCACTCAGCAAGCCGAGGTACTTTGTCTGGTAGTTGACAACTCCTTTGCTTTCCAGCAGCATGTAAGCAGCTGTTTCTACTGCCTCCATGCATCAAGTGATAGCGCCTGTTACCAGGTGCAATAATGGTTTACTTAGCTGTAAGAGGGACTTGGAGAGACAAGCATTCACTTGAGCTAGTGTGAGTTTGGGCTGCCTGCTGGTCTCCAAGATGTGCCAGTATTGCTGGTGTAGTTTACTTGAGTGATTGAGTATCTTTATTTAGGTACTTAAAAATCATAGCATTTTGAATATATAATCAATCAAATTTAAAAATTTTGACAAATAACCTTAAGTATAGGGTTTTTATATAGTATGCTACCAGATTTCTATTTTGACGTATAAAAAACCTCCACATACAGACAGCGGGAATCGACTTTGTTTTTTACTATGTCTAAAAAAATGTTTACAGTGTGGTGATTTAAATCAATGCACTGAGGTGATATCAAATATGAAGTCCAATGATTTGCCTGCTAATGAAAATATTCTTAATTCACTGATAATTTGTCAAGGAAAGGCTGGGTAAGTTTGTGATGTGAACTATAATATAGTTTGTTGCTTGCTTAATTTTATTTATACGATTGATAACCTTTATGGGGGTTTTGGGTCCCCAACAAATTTTGATACAGAGTCCATCTCAGAGTCCCAACTTAGAGTCCCGGGAACAAAGTGGGGTTTTAAGCATTTTTCACTAAGAAGAAATTTTTTGCGTGTCTGTTTGTAAGATAGATTTATGAAGAATATTTAACACCTTTTTGTTTGCATAATCTATAAATTACGGCGACACATTAACTTGAAATATCATATGACTTGTAATTTTCTACATAATTGTGATGTAGCTAGCTCCCATTTCTCAACTTAATGCTTATTATCTCAGCTATTTCTTGTTAAATTGAAACAAAAGTTTGTTATATTTTTATATTGTCTGACTGGTTAACTAAATAGAATTTCTATTTTTTGTTTTTACTTAGGCATTATCCCTTTTGCTTCATTGTTTCAATATTTGCTTTCAGGAACATTCAGCAAATCAAAGAAGTATTGTCGATGATGAAGTCTCTTAAAATAGAAAAGTCTTTAGATACGTACACAGCTATTGTTCGCGCACTTGCTTGGAACAAGAAAACTAATCTTGTTTTGGAGGAAATGGAAAATGTGCAAAAAAAAGGCTTACAGTTCGAAGAGTCTCATATAATGGATATTGTAAAGACCCTAGCTGCTAGTGGAAGCTATGAGATCATACATCAGGTATATTTTTATGTGTACCTACTATACTGTTGATGTACACATTAATGATATATGAATATAGAAAAAAATGTTAAAAATTTATTGTAGAAATATAATGAAAATATAGAGATTATGATTATTTATTTTCAGGTTCTTCAGTTTTTACCAGCAGAAACACTTAAAACACCATCGATTTCTCCATACATGCAAAGCGTAGCTACGTATTTAGTGTTCCAGAATCATCCGATGGTTGCATTAGAAATATATAAATGTTTGCCACTACCTTCCTTCGGACCAAAGGATGATCAGGGTTTGCATGGAAGAAGTTTAGTCAGGGATTGCGTAAAAGCTGCAATGGTGAGAATATTTATGTGGTTTGTTTAGGTCATTTTTTTAGACTAAAGATGAAGCTACTTTGTATCTCCGAAAACTATTTTTTTTTCAAAACGGTAATACGACTTCAAAAACGCATCTTTGCATAAATTATAATGCAGCAAAAATAAGACGATAAGACACTACGTCTGAGGCTTAGATAATCTTTATTTGTCATAATAATGTTGAATGTACTTTAAGTGTATATATGAGGTATCTTATGTGTTAATTTGTTTCTCGACATAAATAAACATCTTACTTACCATCAAGTCATATTGTGACCAAATGTCAATGCAGTATTTGAATAAAAAAAAAGAACAAAAAGAATAATTAAAGCATTTACTGTGATTGCAGCCATCAAGCGTCATAGCTCTAATAACTCAAGAGCTTATGTCATCTGGTAGAAATCCAATAGCGATACAGAATGCGTCAGAAGCGGCATTGCAACTGGGCAAAGTGCCTCTGGCATTGGACATGTTCACTAGGATGCAACAGCTTGGAATGCCATTGCGACCTCATTACTTTTGGCCTATTTTGATTCACAATTGCAAGAACAACGGAGAAAAAGGTATTAGTTTAAATAGGTTTAGAAAAAAAAGTAATATACAAAGCAGTTCGAAAACTGAAATACGGCGAATAAAAAAATACGCATCAAGAAAATAGTTTTCGTCTGAAATATATAAAAACCAAGATTTAAAAAAAAATATAGTAAAAAAAAAAGCTTTTACGCAGATAAAATAAAAAACATCTTAAATACTAAACCATACTATAAAGTTAGCGCACGATAACAATTTTTTATACATGAAAAAATTGTTATCCGATCCGATCCGGGCGTTTTTTAAATATTTTGTTATAGATTTTAAAATCGAACAATTATTTATAGATTTTAAAATTAGTAAATTAGGCCTCTGGCGACCAAAATCTATCTTAATTCCGTTTTTGAAAGATATTCACGAATTTCAATTTGCTACTACTATTTGGGATGTGATAGAGATTGCAATAATAATATAATAATAATAAAAATAGTGGTTCTTGATCGTTCCAATCATCATTCATTCTGAAAAGGATTGGGACTTTATGATAGTAAAGTCGCATAGTATTTTAAAAAGGATGAATTACTTATGCAGGTATAATGAGCGCTACCGAGTTATACCGAGTTATACCATATCTATAACATTAGTTTAAAGCAACATTATCAATACTAATTTGACATACACTAGAGTGTAAAGGCATTATTAAACCTTAATGGACGTTTGTGCAACTGACCGATAGTATTTTGAATTAAAAAGAGTGAATTTCTTATGCAGGTATTATGAGTGCCCTATCCACTATGATCACAATGGGCGTAACGATAGATTACGAGACGATACTAGATTACACTCTACCTTACGTCAGTTTCACGTCACCGCAGAATCTGATGAAAAAATTCCTGGATGCCGGTCTAACAGTCTCCACTGTTCTGACGCCGATGATGGAGACTCTACTCAACTCTGGACAAGTGAGAGCGGCTAGTGAGATTTGTGGGTATTTTATGTTATTTACATTTTATACTTATATTTTATCATTTTATACTTAATGTTATTTATATTTTACATTTAATATTATTTACATTTTATACTTTAAATATTTGGTTTTCCGTACATTTATAATGGTGTTTGACGAAATTTTTCGAGATATAAACTTTTATAGTTAGCGTTGCGGTCCGGGGTGCGAGTTGCGACCGCCTAATTTTCTAGCTATAGGATACGACATCTTATCGACATTATGGCGATATTTCGTTTCGTTTTACTAATTTAATATATACTTTAGTAACGATGAATTAACGATAAAGAATGAACATTATGGATTTGATAGCAGTGTTAGCAACTTACTTATTTATCCTATATATATATATTGACCAACGACATGTCAAAGTAATAATTTGAAACGAAATATTGTAATGTCCTATGGCTAGAATCAAGACTAGGTAGTTACGCGGTCGCCCTGCTAAATCTTACCATACCAATATGTGATATTATGTTCAAAGAAACAAAAACTGCAAAAACAAATAAAATATTTGATAAATTTTCTGAGAAATAAACATTAGCAATAGGGAATATGCGTCTGATTAAAAAAAAGGGTTAAATATATTTTATTACAATCGTTATTGCTTTAGAATAAAGTCTATCTAAATATTTTTCAACATTAGTTCGTTTTCGTCTTGAAAATAATTATTAAAAAGTGCAAAATAAATGCGGTAACTTCAAAATATTTAAACGCCATGCTACTTGTCAGAGCGGATGTGACGAAAATGTACACGTATAGGGATGTCGTTGTTACAAAAAGTTAACATCGATGCAATAACATCAATGTATTATGTCGCAAAATAAACAACTGATTACAATTTAAATGTTGTTTTAGCCTTTTATTTTTATTTCATCAATTAAGTAAATTATATGATTTTTTAAAAAAGTCTATCATACTTTAAAAAATCGATTAAATTATCATGTAAAACCATTTTCCAAAAATGTGCATATTCCCTATTTCTATTAAACAAGGATAGAAACACTTACTTATGATGTCATATCGTAGTGAATGGTGAGTGATGCGCGGTGACGATATGGATGGAAAATGCTCACTGCGTTACTTCAATGAAATATAAAATTGATTCTTATTTATTCTTCTTTACGTAGCTAGCGGGCTCCCACACCTCGACTTTAATGCCTATTATCTAAGCCACAATACCTTATTTAATAAAATACATATATTGAATACAAATCTACCTGCCTTATTCATAAACGCAAGCTTATATTTTTCAGGCGAACTATTTCAAGGAAAGATTGAAGCGAACAAATTGCTTAAACCATTGATGAAAGGGTACATGATGAGTGGTGACGTTAAATCCACGGTGTATATTCTAGAGGATGTAACGTTGAAAGCCTCCGATAAGAATAAAGATTGGGTCGGTCGTTTCCTGTGTACGTTCATGCAGAACAAGAAAGTGAAGAATGATGTCAAAGAAATGCTCCATTTGATCGAGGCAAGTGATTACTTCTAATGAATCATTTTGGTGCAATAGTAGTTTAGACGATAAAAAATTACCATTCATATCATCATCATCATCATTTCAGCCGAAAGACGCCCACTGCTGGGCATAGGCCTCCCCCAAAGATCTCCAAAGCGATCGGTCCTGCGCCTCCCGCATCCAGCGGCTATATAATAAGTTAAAATCTAAAAATAAAATTTAATTTTCTAAATTTTCCGCGTGAACGCTAACTTATGTTATGAAGTCGTTATGACGGTACGTCCCTCTAAAACTAATGTCGTTATATGTTTGCTTAGCGTTTAATTCTGTAAGTTCTGGTATGAGTAGAGGGGCGTGACGTCATGCGCTTATAGCGGTCACGTGACAACGAGTATAGAATATTTGTTTCTTTTTATAATTAATTTAAGCGATAAACATGATAAGCGTGCAAGTGTGATTATCGATAATACAGAAGTAGTTTATATAAAAAGACCGGGAAAAAAAAACTGCACTGTGAGATGGGACTCGAACTCTTGACTTTTCGCAGTCCGGGCGACTGCTCTAACCACTGAGCTACACTAACAAGACTGAAGAATTTTTCAAGCAGAGCGTATTTTAATCGATGTTCATTCAATCCACCCAAACATAAATAGTATTGTGAAATCCAAAATTGATCAAATACAATAATATGTATTTATTTTCGTTTACTCCTCCTATTAGTAAACCGGGCGGAATAGTTTGTTTTAACTCTCTTCATCAATAGACTATGACTAATTTGTTTTGTCTGTCCGTCAGTTACATTATTGAAGAATATTAAACACGTATTTTTAATTATAATTTTTTTGGTTTAATCAATCAATTACGGTGATATATTGAGTTTAAATTGTCACATGACGTCACCTTTTTGTACATTTACAATAAGGCTTCGCTTCTGTGTAGTAGTTGTTACGTAGCGAGCCCCTACTCTTCAATTTTAATGCTAATTTATTATCTGAGCCATTTCTTGTTTTGCCAACGTTTTTCCATTATCTGACTGAGGGACAAACAGCCATTTGCACAAATTTCCAATTAAATTGTCATTAGTTTAAAGGAAATTCATTAGAGTTTAATGGCGTTCGTAAATAGATATTTTATCCATTCATCATCTCTATCGTGACTCAATTTTACAGAAGTCATTGTAATAAAAGAGTTATATTATCTAAGCTTTTATATTTGAATCTTATGTCCAGGCGATAAAGTCCACATCCCTAAAGATCTCGACAAGCGCTTCCGACTATTGTATGAGTTGTTTACCCGACACATGCACCGGTAATAACCTCGATACGCTTCGTAATAGTCTCGCAGAGATCACCGATGACAGATTAGTTGACGAGGAACAATTATTCGTCCAGCATATGCCACACCCGGTGAGTAATATAAAATATAAAACAAGAAACATATCCTAATGTTTAACTTTATTGGGTACTCTCCACTATAATAACGCCGCTGTCCACATCATCATCATCATCATCATCATCATCATCATCATCGTCGTCATCATCATCATCATCATCATCCCTTTGTTTCGTCCCCACTGCAGGGGCTCAGGCCTTCCTTATGGATGGTCAAGGAGCATGGGCCATGACAAATGCAGCCGGGACCGACAGCTTTATGTGCCTTCCGAAGCATGGAGTAGCTCGAGATAATAATTTTTTGGTCACCCATCCTGTGGCTGACCCTTGTGAAAGTTGCTTAGCGACAACGATCGCGTGCCGCGGCGCTTATCCACTACGCCACCGAGCTACTCATATTTGTTAATTGCTATCTGGACTATATGGACGTGGAAACAAGAATCCAGAATTAGTCAATTCAGATATTAGCCGCATTAGACAGATAGGCAAATAATGTAAAAAATTATAGTGAAAAGCGGTTATTTTCATATTACAAACAGACCCACTAATTTTATTTATTTGTAGAAACATATGAATGAGGAATCTCTCAAAGCACATTTGCATGAGTTGGAGGCTAAAGGCATGAACACTAGAGGTGTTCTAAGGAAGTTGTTACAGCAATATTGCAAGGAAGGCAACTTGCCTGCCGCGAGGGAGATCGCTGAGAAATGTCAGAAGGAAGGGGTGAGTTTAATGCATTGCACATTACCCCAATCAATTTTAATCCTAATGTTCAACAGAATAAGATTTTAAATCTAATTTCTCATTTCAATGATAATTTTCTAACTTTATTAATAACTAGTGAACCCCATAGATTTCGTTGCCCCCACTTTATGAAGGAAATGAAATATGTTTTGTTAAATTACGTCTATATGGAAACATCTCTGAATAGTTCTAAACTTATTTGGCATAACACACTTGACATAATCGTCATCATCATCAACAGCCCTTTTACGTACTCTGCCCCACTGCAGGGGCTCAGGCCTTCCTTATGGATGGTTAAGGAGGATGGGCCATAACCCTCCACGCTGGCCCAATGCGGATTGGAGGGCATTAACGAATGCAAATGCAGCCGGGACCAACGGCTTAACGTGTTCGAGTTTGAGATAGCAATTTTATGGTCACCCATCCCGTGACCGACCCTTGCGAAAATTGCTTGACAACAATGATCGCAGGCCGCGGCGCTTATGTACTACGCCACCGAGCTGCTCTTCTTCTTCTTGCCGTAACATGTAATTATGTATTCGAGTTTTGACAAGTCAAATGTTTGCCTGACAACAGGTTTTCCTATCTGCTGGCATGAAAGCATCTATATTCGATCTTCACGTGAAACTGGGCGAGTTGGATCTTGCTGAGCTGGCCCTATCAGATTTGAATAAGTCATCGCCTAATTTCAAATTGGACGAATTCAAAGTGATAGACTTCGCGACACTAATGGTGTATAGGAAGAAGATAAAGCAGGCCTTTGACTTGATCAATGAGCAGTCGAAGATGAGGTCTTTTTATGTTTTATAGACTTTTTAGAAAATAATTTTGCTTCGCTTTAGAAAATACTCGCTTTTATTGTAAAGGAATAAGGGTTATGCTGGGGGACTCCTTCCGTCAGACAAACTATACTATCTTCCTTTGCACGGCAGAGTTACAGACTCTTTAATAATATTAAAAAAAAGTAATTCAGTGACACTCAACATTGTATTTTACGTTTTTAAGTCTATAATGTAATAAATTCGTATTGACTGTTTGTGCCATAAAAAGACACTTAAAAAACTGGCCCAGTGTGAGCCGAAAATGAGGAAAAAATCACGTATATTGTATGGGAGCCCTTAGATATTTATTTTATTCAGGCTTTTAGTAGTTTTATTTGTCGTTGAAGCGGTAACAGAAATACATCGTCTGTGAAAATTTCAACTAACTTTCATGGTCTGAGATACAACCTGGTGACAGAAAGACAGACAGCGTGGTCTTAGTAATAGGATTCCCGTTTTATCCTTTGGGCACGGAACCTTAAAAAAGCTTAAGATACTGTTAACAATGCGTCAGGTATAACCTAAACAAGAGACCTTAATGCATCAAGAGCAAAGTTCTAAATTTATTGCATGTTTTTGTCATTGTTACCTGATGTACGCTGTGTCTACCAGGTATTGAGACAGTTGCATTTTGAAAAGGTTTTCAAATTCCATCATCATCATCATCATCATCATCAGCAGCAGCCTTTTTACGTCCCCACTGCAGGGGCTCAGGCCGTCCTTATGGATGGTTAAGGAGGATGGGCCATAACCACGCTAGTCCAATGCGGATTGGAGGGTATTTACGACTGCAAATGCAGCCGGCACCAACGGCTTAACGTGCCTTCCGAAGCACGGAGTAGCTCGAGATAATTTTTTTTGGTCACCCATCCCTTGACCGACCCTTGCGAAAGTTGCCTAACGACAACGATCGTGGACGAAAAATATAAATGAAAAATAAATAAATCGCTTCGTTTTTCAGACGTATTGTAGGTGGTCAAGGTATAGCTATGAACTGTTGGCGTCTTTTAGACGCTACCGCTGCGAACGGTACCCACATTGAGACAAAGCAAATGTTCGATCTACTAACAAGCTTGCGGTATTGCAAACCAACCAATGCTTTGATGGGCCCACTAGTTCGAGTCCACTTGAAGAAGTAAGTAGACCATCTACTCGACTTGTAGGTATTCAAATACCGTACTTCAAATAAAAAAGTGCTATTTATTAAAAATACTTTTAGAATCGTTTATTTGTATACAATACTCCGATTGACTGATAGAGAATCTCTAAAGGCATTAAGTGCGTCATTTTTATAGTCATGTGTGCAATAAAGTTAAAATAAATAAATAAGTAATGGGATTGCAATTCAGGTTAGGATTATGAACCAGATTTGTGTAGAAACGTTTTCTGTTATTTTGCGACTTTTACAGTGATATTAATAAAGAAGGTTTAGCGTCAGAGTAAAGAATCATGTCCACTTTCCATACATTGATTGACCTGTCACTCGTTTGCTTTTATAGGTCGCGTCTATTTACAAATGGTGTTATTTTAAATTGGTTTTTGCTTATAATAGAATTTTAACAAATAATATTTTCATTTTAAGCCCAGGGAAAAGTGTAATTTGTAAGTAATATTATTGAGGTTAAAACAACTGTCAAAACCCGAGATAATTGCGAATTTTAGTTTTATTTAATGGCATTTATTAATTTTATTGAAAATGTATTACAATATTTTATGATTTTCATATCTCACACAGCTTTAAAGTATTATTCTAATGTAAAATAGTCCAAAAAAGATGCTGTTGTGTTTTTTCGAAATATTTTCAATTTCTTTGCTTTGCTACTATTTCTTTGACCAAAGTATACTTGGAATATTAAAATCGATTACGCATAATGTTGTTTTCAGTCGTAGATTATATTATAAAATAGAAATAAAAACAGTGTTTGTTTTAAAATTATTTATTTACTACCACTGTCTCCTGTTAGAACTACTTCATCCAAAAATGCAGCTGGAGTTTGATGCAAAAGAATTTCGCTCTATGCGTAACTGGTTCAACTGTACTATCGTTTTCACATCATTCATACCATTAAAATAAAAGTTTTATAAAATATTATTCTTATTTAAGAAAATAAAATAAAATGTAATTGTTATTGTGCACTTTTTTAACCTTAAAACGAAAGAATATATTTCTCGTAGTAGATGAAACGAATCGCAGCAAACGGTCATTCTGCGGTCCGAATCGCGTTCTCGTATAAAACATTGAATTTTTGAAAACTTTATCAGCCTTCTTATTTTTTTCCTGGTTTTATTTTAATACTTTATTATGCGCTATGAAATACGTAAAAAATAAGCTATATTTTAAGATGTATCACATCACTAGAAGCGTTAGTTAATTTCTAGTGAAGCGTTAGTGAATTCATATTATAAAGAGAGCCTCTAACCTCTACTAGGTTAACCTTTGCTAAGTCTCTGTTTAATAACATGAATTTTGACTAAGTGAAGTCTCAGCGTAAATTTACTCCAACGCTAAACCTTGTTTATTAATAACACTGATAGGGTCAGTTTAGACGGAACGGAAAAATACCAGAGCAATTTACTGGGTCAATTGAAAATATCTTAAATTGACCCTTTCGCTAACTATGACGTAATGTTATTGTGAGTATATGTCTGCCAGGCAGTTGCACAAACGTCCATTAAAAATTGTCATTAGTAAAAAGCAAGAGCTAAAAGGCGTCATTAAACCTTAATGGACGTTTGTGCAACTGACAGATAGTCTCAAATATTTTGTATATTCGTACTCGTTGAATTAGTGAAATATTTATTTAAATACTATAGCATATACCTAATTATTAGTTCTATAAATCATTACGATCTCCTGTTACTCCATCTATTGGTAAAAGAAGATCGTAATGATCGTGTAGAAATGTATTCATATATTTTATTTTCGTATAATGGAAAGAAAGATATAGCATTTTACAATCTTTCTTACACTGTGAATTATAAATAAATTAGCTTTCGCCAGCGGCTTCGCCCGCGTGGACTCTAGGGAAATGTTAAGTGGGATAAAAAGTATCCTATTATCTAAGTCAGCTAATACCCTATCTGTATACCAAATTTCATCAAAATCCGTTCAGTAGTTTCGGCGTGATTGACCGACAAACATCTAAACATCCAAACAAAGAAACTTTCACATTTATAATATTAAAATAGGATGAAACGTCATGGGTTAGTTACACTGGTCGAATATCCGCCATTTGTCGCGGTTGATTAATTATCGATTACATCTCAATAAAACAATGACCAATGAAAGCGAGGTACAGAAATCAGCCGCACGCTTCATGCACATTTTATCGACCAGGGGGTCAATTGTCTAATGTAAAAACTTATCGCAATAACTTTTAATTTGACAGTTGAAAGATATTCATAAATTATTTGAAATGTAATAACGATTGCGACATTTTTTTGAAACATTAAATGAACCATGTTATTATTTGGAATTATACTTAGCAAGCATTAGACGGAAAATATGTTTGAAAATTATTTACATATGTCAAACGAAACGCTTTCTTCGATATTTGGACTTAGTTCAGTTAAGTATATGTCGCATCATCTTTGGGGCCGTCCATTAATCACGTGGCTCGAAAGGGGGGGGAGGATTCGTCAAAAATCACGAAACATCACAAGGGTAGCAGTAATATATCATATGTATTTATTTTTTCCTCGATGCGCGATTATTAAAGCGACGTCAAAAATTAAGCTTTTTTTTTAAATACACGTGAATTGGTTGAAGGAGGGAGGGGTAGTCTTAAACCTCATCATTTATCACCAAGGGGGAGGAGGGTCAAATATATTGAAAAAAAATCACGTGATAAATGGACGGCCCCTTTACGAAGATCGTTTGATTTAGTTTCTTATATTTTAATTGCTAGTTACTCGATTACTTAATTACTCGATTGTAGAGAGAGCGTGATCATCGATACTTTTAATTTTATTAGAATGGTGACACTGACTTTGACAGTTCGTAGTTCGTACATATATATTATGTTTCTTCAAAGTATGGGTTAATCTATTTATTTCCCAGTGATAACATTCAAGAGGCGGTGAACGAATTCGTCAGTTTATCTAACAAATACAGTAAGACGCCATTGAAACATGAATTACTCTGCCACATATTGAGTAAGATGGGAGACGGCCGGTCTGAAGACACGTTTCTTGCAAACGAAAAGTCTAACGGCAGATTAAATAAGTTCGTGCAGACCATACTGAATGTAAACAAGAAAGTGCACGGCCCGGGCGATGTTCAGGTAATCATTTACACAGCTGCATATCTGGTTAGCATAATATATCTTTTTTTTAATTGATTCTGAACTTTAGTGTCAATATATTAAGGTTTAAAATCGAGTTTGGAAATTTGAAAGTTTGTATAACCTGACGTGCCGTTGAGTACTGTATTTCTAATATGAAAAATTGATATTCTTAAATTGTTATTAATAAAAAAAACTGATCTAAGTCAAGCGCACCTCGCAAAGGTTTCGGATTTGAAATTTCACTCTATTAGGAACAATTTGAGAAGGTTTTTCAGTATTTCATATTAAGGCCACTATTCCATATTAGGAATATTTTTTCCATATTTGGTTACTTTCCTCTGTATTTTATGTATATTTAACTATGAAAACACGTATTCTCACCATGTAGGACATCTATCGCATATTTATACATGTCCAGTATAACCTCCGGTTGCCTGAAAGAAATTGCTCCTAGGCCGCCGCTAAACTTTATTGATTTGTCATGTCGAGTGTGAGCGAGACGGATACTTAATGAGTTGTATTTTACACCCTATTAGTGGGTTTATTTAAACAAGATTCACTTCAATCGTATGTTCGGCCATATTTGAATTCAGTATAGCTGTGGGATAAATGTCTAATTTCAAACCTATCGCAATCCCTTCTAAAGGCATATCGAATGTGTTGGCGATTAATGAACTTTTGTAACGTTTAAAGAAGCAATCGCTTTCGGAACGAATGATGAATGAATGAATGAATAATAAACGTAATAAAAATAATGCAACTTAAAGTAGTATTTGCACAATTCCTATTAAAGTCAAATGTACGTTATCCTTCATGCAGTATTTCTTAGCGTAGAGCGCGTGAATATCATTCAAATATTAGATCAAACGGGATTGCGATAGGATTTAAAATTAGACAATTAGACCCTTGACCTGCGCAAACGCAGATTTATCGCGTGCCGTATTTAAACTTACTGTACCATCTGCCGAATATATCTTAAAATACTCTAAGGTTACCATATGATACTCAGTTGTGAAGATCGTCAATAAATAGTTTCTATTCTAATTCAGCTAACTCTGATGGCGGCTCTCGCAGAAGTTGGTTACAAGAAAACTCTTCGTAAAATGCTACTTGATCCGTCGGTTAAATTCCATCCTGATGCTCTGATGCGTCGCTGCGAGAAATTCGCTGACGAAAAAAAGATTAAACCTTTGGAGATTATTGCGGAATGTTCTAAGGACTTGCGGCGTGTTGACGTCGATGAAATCTACGAATTGATATTAAGTGTTTACCGTGAGTTTGTGTTGATTGTTTTTTTGGAAAAGGTAAAAAAACAGAACCCTATTGTCCGTCTGTGAGTCAAGATTCTTTATTTCGAGAACGTGTGGAGCTCTAGAGTTGAAATCAAAACTATATACTCAGGTATATAGTTAGTCCCTTGAAGCAAATAGGATAATAAGATACGGTTATTTACGCAGCAATAAACGTATGTTTCGACACCTTTAAGGGTATTAAAATTGATAGAGTACTTCCCGTTGGCTCAAAACTATGAAATTGGGCAAGTAACATCAATTTATAGTACAAGTTCTAGAAAAAATCTAAAACTATACAATTAAATTTAAATCATAAAAAATTTAGTCTTATAGTGGCAGATTTTTCTATTCTATATTGATATGTAACTCCCAGGGCGCGAGTCCGACTCGTGCATGGCCGGTTAAAGTTAAAACAATAGTGCAAGAATCACCCAGGCCCGCAATCGTTGTTGTTAAGCAACTTTCGCAAAGGTTAGACAAGGGATGGGTGATGGTTACTCCGTACTTCGGAAGGCACGTTAAGTCGTTGGTGCCGGCTGCACTTCCAGTCGTAAATACTCTCCGATCTGCATAAGCCCATCCTCCTTAACCATCCATAAAGAAGGCCCGATGATGACGAATGCAAGAACATTTCTTTTTTCATTTAATATCTCGTTTTATTTTTCTATTTCAGAACGCGAAGACAATTACCACGGAGCATTTAATTTGTGGACTCGAATGCATGAAATCGACGTCACGCCGTCTCAGCAATTTGTACGTAACATTTGCGCTCTCTTCAAAGCCAACAATAAAGAGATACCTTCTGAGCTTTCTATTCTATTAGACAAACAAGAAAAAGTTGCTAATCAATGAAAGGGTCTTGTTTCATCATTCTAAAGTAGTAAACCAGTATATTCGATTATCGATTAACTCCACATGATATTGATCATATTTAATGTTTATAATTCGAAGTCAATATAAGTAAATTGTAGTTTTAGTAAGCGTTTCTGTGATATTAAATGTACGTGTAATTAAAATACAAGTATATCTTATACGTGTTTTATTATCTAGAATATATCTTAAGCCTTGTGTTTTTGCTTCCTTTTTATACAGGAATATTAAAATACTGATTTTTTTGGTTTATTTAATAAATTACGGGGTTACGTCGAGTTGAAATGTCTCGTGACGTCATATCTTTGTACGTTTTCAAAATCAAAATCGTTTATTCAGTCTAGACTGTTACATAGCGCTTGTGGAAGTCGAAAACTACGCCAACGATTCGCAAAACTGCGGCGGGAGACTTTGAACTCGGAAACCCAGCAAGGGCTGCCTTTTTCTCCCTTTTTTATTTCACACAGAGAAGTCTTATTGGAAAGTGACTTCATGACATAGTTTTTGACATAGTTGTGACGTAGCGGTCCCCCACTCTACTCAACTTTAATGCCTATATCTAAGCTATTTCTTGTTATATAAAAAAAACGTAACTAATTTTTCTATTATCTAACTCACGGATTAAATATAATTTCTTTTTTTTACCCAGGCATTATCCCTATTACAAAGAGTTAATATGATTTTGAATTGTTTAAATCTTCAATGATTCTTCTGTTCAGATTGGCTAGCTCTTCCAGAGCTTGTTTCTTCAAAGGCTCATAGTCGGCCTTGAGAGTTATAGATGCAATGTCTTCCTCGAGGACAGTTTTTCTAGACTCCAGCTGTGCCAGCTGTTCTTCGAGGCTATTCAGTTTCGCGTACATTTCGTTACCGTCCAAGCTTTGCTGAAAATGTTATTAATTTTTCAAATGATTTTATTTATGAAAATAATTAAATGATAATCTTAATATGCAGAGACGTACACACGATTGTTGTAATAAGAAAATTGACGTAGAATGGAAAATGTGAGGTAGAAAATAACAAAGTGAAATCTAATAATTTTCTCCAGATTTAAAATAAACAAATTCTTTCGTCCAGTATATTTTATATTAAAATTAGCACCCGGATTTTTGCTAAATCTAGTATTTAGCAAAAATCCGATGTCACCACTATCCATACTCGCCAGTTCGTCAAAAATAAGATAAGCCAATATTAACAACTATTTCTAAGCATACTAGCTTTCCGCCATCAGCTTCGCCTGCGTGGTCCTTAGGTAATAGAGATGACGACAATTTTTATGTTTGTCCGTCAAGTAGAGTGTTGAAAAATATTAAACACGTATTTTTTTATTTTTTTCGTAATCATAAAATTACGGCTATACATGGAGTTGAAATTTTGCATGACGTCACGTTTCGTTAGTCACGTTCAAATTATAATGAAAATTAAATAGTAAACAATTGTTACCATGGTGACGCCCCCATTTTCATCCCTTTATTTCCTGTTTTTCGGGGAAAAAAATATAGTCAATGTCCACCGTATGTGATGTAGCATCTAAATAAGTGGATTCTTATTTTAGATTACCAGTGTCCGATGTCCTTAGCCATACAATATTGCAATAATCATTAATTACCTGCAACTTTTTTAATTTCTGCGAGGCCTCCTCGACGGCGCTTTCCGTCGGCGTTAGTTTTTCCTTCAGTAACTGCATTTCTGTTTCCAGTGCCTTCTTCTTTTCTTCACCTATTAATTATAAAACTTAATTTTAGTACTTGGTTTATGCACAATTGTAATTTATCTTGCTTTGCTTTTTCTGTCTCGAGTCAGTGAAGGTAAGACCGAAATTTAATATTTTGGCCCTAAGCATTTTCCAATGGTGCACAGAGAGATATTTTCGAAAATAACAGTTTTTGAAATCTGCCGAAAAAGGTAGACTTATAAAAGTTGACTACTTTACATCAGTGTAAGGATGCACAATCATCTACAAAACAGCATCAAAAGGTCTAAACCATTTCATTTCAGCAATGCTAGAGTGAGATATAGCATAAATATACGAAATGCTGTTATAGGTAAGTATTTTTTATTTATATTAAATGTAAAATTCATAGAATCGATTTTGAATATTAAGAGTTGTTGCTTTAAGACTTAAAATCGATTGAAAGAATCTGGAAGTTTTATACATATAAGCTGTAAGTAAAAGTAAGGTAATTTTCTAAGTTTATTGTAATTGTCATTGACATCTCTGGGGTATCTGATAAATGTTATCATGTAATAAAATCACCCCTCACCTTCATCTCTCAGCCTTTCGAGATCGGACAAAGTAACGAGCTCATCTTTCATGACTCGCGTCTTTTCCGGTAGTGTTTGTAATTCGGTTGCAAGTCTTTCACGCGTCGATTCAGCCTGGAAAATACGATTATTAAAGTATGTTATTTTATTACAACCTTATCTTAACAGAGACATTAAAGTCGTGTTTGTTTATACAATCTGGTATTCAAGTTTTGATCTATTTACTTTGTTCACTTAATGATATTTGTTAAAGAACGAATTTTTCTTATTAGTCTGCCATCATCAGCTCGTTAATGTCCCGAATCCTGAGGCATAGGTATTCTCAATGGATGAAATTAGATAGGTAGACGAACCATCACGTAGGTATAGTGCGGATTGCTACTGACTGCAGATGCAGCCGAGACCAATGGCTTAATGTACCTCGCTCAAGATAATACGGGTGTAAACAGTAAACGAAAATAAATTCATATTATTATTTTTGTCTAGTAGTGTTTATTAAACTATTACTGATAATCACACTTTAATGCTTATTTTATTTATAGTTTTATATTTATAATTATGAAATACAAATATTCTATGCTCGTTGTCACGTGACCGCAAATAGCGCATGACGTCACGCCCTTCCTACTCTTATAAGAACTTAGAGAATTCAACCTTATGTATACATAGAACGATATTCGTTTGACACCATGACATAAGTAGCGTTTTGAAGGGAAATTTTGAAAACTAAATTTATTTTTAAATTTTAACTTATTATTTCACTACCCCTATAAGTGTCAATGAGGAAGTTTAGCAACTTTCGCAACGGCCACTCATCGTTGCGAAAGTTGCTCAACTTCCGCATTGACACCGAGCGCGTTAACTGCTTCGCCCAATCGAGCTCCTTTATTATTTAAAAATATATAAACTCTACCTTCTTTAAGTTAGCTTGGAACCTTTCATAGTCCTTCATGAGGGCATCAATTGATTTCTTACTATCATCATAGCCGGTATATCCTTCCTTTTGCTTTAAACTATCTATCTCACTCAAATCCAAATCTATATTGGAGCTGCTATGATCTAGTGCAAATACTATATCCTTTTCCAACTGCGCTATTCTTTCCTGCTCTTTCTTGACATTCTCTTCATAGCTAGCCATGAAAGCGTCCATAGTTTCTTCTCTTTTCTTTAGCTCTCTGTATTTCTGGTGGCGTTCTGAGTTGCCCTCTTCCAAGTCCTATGGAGTATATGATAAATAAGCACATATGAAGTTCAAAAGTCTATGGAAGTTTATTACTTCAGAATAGATCGGCTATGGTGTTACAATATTTTTCGTTTGCCCACTGATTCTACTGATTCTTGCCCTTGGTCATAATTATATGAAAAACCTAATTTGAGCAGATAGTCTGTGAAAACTATTAAATTCGAATCTATTCAATGAACAAACACTTAATACCCATAGTAATTAGATATTATTAAAACGACATTGTAAAGAATTGTAATATAAAGCTATGTTCCGCAGTAATATCCCCATAGAAGAATTGTCATTTTATCTAGTAGGTATTATTGAAGACCATTACTTGTGAAAAAGAAGACAAGTAACGTAATTGCAAGTTCTTCTCAACTACTTTCTTATTGAAATAAAATTATCTTACTTGTTCTGCTTGCTCAATAAGCTCTTGGACTTTCTTTATCTGCTCCTTCAAGTTGGCTGCATTGCTGTCTAAGGCAGCAATTGCAGCGTTATCTTCGCGGACCTATAACATTATATCTGTGATATTGGCGACTGCAATTTATTTTGAACTTAATTACAAACAAATTAACGCTTCGCATAGATTGAATTTAGATTTTGTTGTAGAAGCCTGAATAAGATTCTTATGGAAACCTATCTGTTAATCGGCCACCTAAAATGAGTGGAAAACTCAAAATAGTAACTTATAATTTATGATGGCAACTCTTAAACATTAAAAGAAATATTATTATTTAATAAAATTTACATTGTTTGTCAAATTGCAATTCATTGACAGCTTTGCAACACCAAGGTGATATAAGGTTACATTTCTGAGAATATATTAATCTAATTACTTGAGACAGTTATATTTGATTAATTTTGCATTTACAATGCTGTACTGAAAAATGAGTCATGGGTTTGAGTCCCATCTCAAAGTGCCAGGGACAAAGTGGATTTTATAAGTATTTTTCATTAAGAATACTTGAGATTGTTTTGAACAAGTAGTTATAGAACCAGAAGACCTATGGCCTAATTGTTTAATTTTTACATCTATCACAATCACTTTTAAATATGTAGCGGTTGTGATAGTGGTTTATGGATTGTGTAACTTTTTAGGTTGCAATCGGTTTCTAACAAATAATGACTTGAATGCAGTTGCTGATTTTAGGCACAAAAGATTTAATTATCACCTGAAGTAATAACTTCTCTCTTTCTTCCTGTGGGTCTAAACGGTTGTCCAATTCATGTTTAATGTTATCTCTCTTTTCTTCAGCTGCAGCTAGGCGACGATTTAGCTCCAACAAGTGTACTTTGATCTAGAAAAACGACAGAACTTAAACTAGAACTTTTACACAAAACTTTTGCTACAAAAGATATGCATGTTTTGGAATTCGTACAAAAGTTGCTATTAAACATACGGTTGTATTAGATCATTAGCATCAAATTTTCTACCACCCTCATTATGGAGTATCTAAGCTGCACTTTCGAAATATATAACGTACCTGTGAACCAGATATCTCCTTATTAAATTCTTCCTTCTCTCTGTTGAGGTGGTCTATTTGCGATCTTGTTTGTTCTACTTCATCTCTAAGTGTAGTTGCAGTTGATTCCAATTCATTAAATTGGTCTTTTTGCTCCTGTGTCATATCAGCTAGAAGTTTTGTTATCGTCGATTGCTCCTAAAAAGATTGTTAGTTTAATTCATGTAGGATTTTACCTTCATATTCTATAGAAAAGTATGCACCTTATCCATCTGTTCTCTCAATTGGCTCAGCTGGTTTTCTTTTCTCTGCTTCTCTAAAAATACTTGTTCGACTTCTTCCTGTAACTTTTTGTTGCTCAACTCTAGTTCTCTTGTTTGTTCTTCAACGGATTGCTTAGTAGCTTCCCCGTTTACTATTCTTATTGCAGTATTGTAATCTGCTAGACGACCTTGTAAATCTGAAATTAAATAGTTTTTTCTACTGGAATTTAATCGATCTCTATCTAAATCTACGAAAGGGAATTCTTTCTCAATTTTTAATAGTAATTTAGGAAGCTGAAATTTGATTTTCTGAATCTGAATCGAGATAATGAGTTCATATTTTGTTTTAATGTGATAAAAATCATTACCTGTTAACTCTTGAGCTAACTCCCTCACTCGTTTCTCGTAATGTTTCTTAGCCGACTTTTCTCTTTCTCCAGCATCCGCTTGTTCACTCAGGCGAGCTATTTCCGCTTTCATTTCTCGAATTTTGACTTGCATCAATTCCTCCCAATACCTTTTGTCTTGGAGTTGCCTTGTGCGAAACCCTCTAGTAGTACCAGTGCGTAGACCTGATATTCCTTGTTGGGTTATAGGTCGATCTATCTGCAATAAATATAAGTACTTAGATATGTAAATAATACACATATAGTGCGCGTAGTTTTTGGTTTTTATAATGTTTTCGTGTATTTGTGTTTTCAATTTTATTTAAGTGGAGTGCCATTAGGCGTACTTCTTGTAATTAGATTATAAATAACTAGGTATAAATATACACCCTGTTTTGCGTGCGAAAACAAATAATTAAAGTAGCTATTGTTTCCGGGGTCAGGATACATTGTTTAGTCCAACTAATAGCAACACAAGCAGACACTTGCTGTTGGCCCTATGATTCCTTATTCTTCTGACCATTTCACCTGATGACCGTTTTTACTTTCGACATGTTTGCATTTATATGTTTAACGGCATTCCACTATTTATATTTTATTACCATGGAGAAACCCGTCATAGCAGGCTGCCTGCTGGCAGTAGGAGGCGCTGGTCCAAACCCAGCTGTAGACAATCTAGATGCAGTTCCGCCTGCTGGACGGTAGGCAGATGTCGGTCTCATCACTGCACTCCTATGTAAGAAAATGTCTTGATTTTACATCGCACTTAAGATTGCTCAACACAATCTTCATAATCAGCCCTGTTACGTCCTCACTGTAGGGACTCAGGCCTTCCTTATGGATGGTTACGAAGAAGAAGCACACAATAGGAGCACACACGAGGGCACAACGTAATGCCATCACTTAATTTTAATTTACTATCTTCTATTCATTTATAATAACCATAATTAGACTATAAACTACAGGTTAGTGTTGTTTGTAATTCCCATGATTATGCTATTTAAAATTGCTTAAAAATCCCTGGATCTTTCGCAATCCAGGCGACGACTCTAACCAGTTAGCTACCCAGGACCTGACAGGACTGACGAATTTTTCAAGCACTTTTTACTTTTTCGCTACTACAGAGCGTATAATCACCAGGCACAAGTGGAATTGTTAAATATTTTTTCATTACGAATACTTTTCATTTTCAAACCTCAAATTGATAGTGGTCTCAGTGCCAATCCATTGTAACCAAAAAAGTGAGTGTTTAGACATGATTAAGAAATTGCAGCACGATTTTCATATTTCGTAAGACACCTATTTAAGGTGCCTATTTATTAAACAAACGCTTTGTTTGGTTAGCTAAACTAATACCTCACCTGGATACAGATGTTGCGCTGTTAGTGTGTTCTCGAAAACCTCTCCTAGAAACTGGTCGTGGCGCGTCTGGTCGCCTTACCGCACTCTGCCTACCTAACACACTGTCGTCGGAAAAATCCATAATGAATGAAATATATTTATCGCCTCTTGCGGGCAGTGGGTCATGAATTTGTTCACATGCGCTATTGTAGCTAATGTTGTTAATTCGTTGTCATGGCAACGCCAAAGGGCAACACGACGCTTAGCATAATCTTAGATCCCAGGCTTTGTTGTATGTTTGCACACACTAAAAGAAAAATTCATGCGTGCTTTTACAAGCTTAATCAAAAACTCACATTGAAATTGGAAATTAAATCTTAAACTGTCTTCATGGTTAAATATAAACTTCTTGAAATAAATATCCAATTAATTATATTTGTTGAGTGCGTTTGTGTTATAACAACATGAAAATGATGCTTTAAATGGAAAAATATAAAAAATAATCTATTGCAAACGCTTACCTACTTATTATTTTCTCTGAAGAGACACAACCTTAAATTCAGATTTCCTTATATTGAATATAGCATAGGTAATTAGGTAACCTTAGATTATACATTAACTAGTCTAAGTAGGTATTTATTTAAATAAAAACAAATTGCCGAAATGTATGTACGCGCATAACTTCCGAACGATTGCACCAATTTGAATTATTCTTTTCTAACGTTTTCCTTATTGTTAGGGCAAAGTTTCTTTACGTTTAAGAAAACTTGTAAAATAATGAGTATAATATGGGCATATGGCGGTACGAAGTTCGCCGGGTCAGCTAGTTTATATATAAAACTGACCTATAAGTCCTGAAACAAAAAAAAGCAGAATGTAGTAATTGATTTGTTAAAATACACTTCAACACTGCTTTGTTCGCGAAATGAATAGTACAGTCGACAGGTCGTCATATTATACAAAACTCTATTTTTCAAAACTACAAAACTCTAGTTTATACATAAAATCTTCAAACAAAAAAAGCAAAATGTAGTAATTGTTTTGTTGAAATACACTTCAACACTGCTTTGTCCGCGAAATGAATAGTACAGTCGACAGCACGTCATATTATACAAAACTCTTTATACAAAACTCTATTTTTTCCTATATATTTTTCAAATTTAAGCTTTAGTGTCTTAAAAATAGAGTTCAGAATCTATTACGATTATTTAAAATTAGTATTAATGCGGCTATGTGAACCCACATAAGTCAAAATTTGTTGACGCTCAGAAGCCCGCATTGAAACATTATTATGTTAAATAATTCAATATAATCCGCACGTAGCCTGTCATACTCAAACGCCATATAATTTTATTGCTCTGGATATTGTATAATGATACATTACATTATAAAATATCCAGAGAATTATTTATAGGAAGTTGTGGAGTTAAAGAAGATAACAAAATACAATAGTAACTTAAACTAAAAACATATTTCCTGCTAATAGTAAGATATGTATCTCAATACAAAAAAAAATTGCTGCTGCAAAGCAGTTTTCTTTCTGATCAATGTGTACGGAATACTTTGAAAAGGTAATTGGTTCTAGTATAAACTGAATATTTGGTAATTTATCGTGATTTTTATTCTGTCATCACATATTTTACAGTTGAGATTTTTTAGATAAACTACATAAACCACTAGCTTTTAGCCTTCCCTTGTGAAATAGCTTGGGAAATATTCAACCTCGCGTTTCGTCTGCAGAGTTGAGATTCTTTTTAAATATACTTTGCAACATAATGTATTGTAGATACGCGGCAGGAGGAACGCGGGCTGGTGTCTTGTGAAGGAAGTACGAATCAAAAGGGACTGAGATCCTAAATACTCAGCACTGCGTCAGTGTTTCGTAGTTTGAAGAGTTCAGAGTGAGGTTGTGGACGGTAATTACAACTATTAACATATATAGCTGTCGAACACGCAACACTTTGCTTTCTTTATACAGTTCCTCAGTACTGTATCTGAAAGGCTAACCCAATGTCACCTCGATTTCATTATGTAAATTTTTTTCGGGTTTTTGCAGTTGCGCTACCAATGTGATTTTTATAGGAAAGTTTCGCGTCCAAAAGAATTCCAAGATATTTTATGCAACTCGTACGCTCAATTGTGACACAAACACATGAAGACGTCAGTGGCAATCGCTTGTATCTGTTGTGTGGAGGTGGTACCGAGGCGTAGGTTTTTTGAAAAGCTATGCATTTTGTTTTCGTTGTGTTCATGGTCAAAAGATAATTTTTACCACGTACACGATAGAACCAAAATTCATAGCTACCCTGAGGCACCCCAAACTCGACCCGACGCCGATCATAAAATTTTATACACTGCTCTCGTTGAAATATAACTACAAAATCAATGCAAGGTCATTCCGCGGACACACAAACAATTAAGTTTCTGTAGGAGTATGTACTTTGAGACTGCATCGTAGGCTTTAGTGAGGTCTATGAATATCCCAAGACAGTGTTTGTTATTATCTGAATCCTCGGAAACAACATAAACTACCGTCATCACAGCATCTTCCGTGGATTTTAATTGCTAGGGATTTTCAGTAATGCAATATCCACCAGCCAGGTCCTATCCGCCTCCTGCAAGATAGGTATAACAAAAATTCAAGGAAGTTTAAGCGTCTGATTTTATTTTTGTAAGCTCTATAGCATTTTTGTGAGTCTTTTCCATGTGACTTATTTCCTTAATAGCTTTCCACAATTTTTTAGGATCGTCTTTAGAGGTAGTGAGCATTTGGCCGAGTGATCGATATCGGGGAAATGCATTAAAACGTTTAATTCTAACGTCAGCCGCCTAAAAACTATTTTTTATCAGCTACGCACGATATAAAGGGAATCGATGTGTTATAACGACCACCTCAATATTGTTTTTCTAGTAACTAATATTGACATTGCACAGGACTTTTTACTATTCTATACCGGCATCACTGTTAGCCGAAATAATATATTCCTCAGTTTGCAGTCGTCCAAATTCTATAATATCCAAGACGAATTTTGGGTATGATGTCTCGACAGCTTTAAGAAAACATTTATATGCTTAATGCATTATATTTTGGCACCAAAAAAAAAGCCTCAAAAAGAAAAAAATATCAAATACTTTAACGAACTTATAACCTTTCGCAATGACGTAACTGGGTCTGATGAATGTTATAAGCATTTTTCTTTAACGTTAATTAATGTAGCATCATAAAACAAAATTGATAAAATATAATCTATTGATGTGGCAATAAAGTTTGTAATTGCAATCACTGTTTAATGCATTTAATTTAAAGATCCTATGCGCCTTATTTTATTCGGTAATTAATTTATAATATTTTAGTTGGTAGTTGCTTCCTTTATTTTCATTAAGAATGTTGATTCATTGTGATCTTTATTATTTTGATTTCTAAAAAAAAGACTAATAAGAGTTAAAAATATTGAATGTTACCTGAATTGGGAATATAAAACCTATTTTTTTCCTTATTTAGTTTTATTTGCCTAACTTCTCCTTTGAAACAGTATGCCGATATTAGGGTCATATGTGCCGGTCGTTAGGGTGTTAAAGGTCGATATTAGGGAAAATCATCGAAACTAATAAAACATTCGTAATTTGGCGAATTTAATTTCATTATCTCGTTACTCAAAAAAGGCATTATAAGAAAGCCAAAGCTATTAATATAAAAATTACAAGCAGTATAAGATAAAAAGTTGACATGGCCAATAATTAGTGCCTCCACCACACTAAACATCAAAATCTATTCAGTAGACTATAGGTACATCTACCCTCAAAGTTTCAAATTATTATAAGTTATAATTATTAATAAGTAGGAAGGATTTTTAAAACTTCTAATCCTTTTAAGTAAAAACTTACTACTCATTCATCTTTTGACTGACAAGAAGAATGGTTGAGTCTTTAACAAGTGTAAATAAACAGCATTGATTAGCATAGAATTAAGTAAAATTTGATTTATGCAAAATTATTACAAAAGCACTCATACAAAAATAAATTTATTCGAATAGTTTGAGAAACCTAGTATGAAACGGTACACGACAGATAACAGCATACATTTAAAACTTCGTCGAAACATTTTTAAGATCATTTGTGAATAATCAATGTACAGTCACAATGTGTCGCCATCAATTCATTGTCGGGCTGATTGTCAGTGCCCGTTTCGCGTATGGATTAAATTTCCATAGTTTTGGAAATGAATTCGAGTACCTCGCCAAAGAACTCAACGAAAGCTCTGTCATGTCTGATTCGGCAGAAATCAAGGCTAGTTGGTTAGAGCAACCGTTAAATCACTTTGACACACAAGATAATAGAACATGGATGATGCGATATTTTGAAAGGCACGATTTGTGGAAGCCAGATAAACCTGTGTATCTCTTCCTGGGGGGTGAAGGTCCAGCTAGTCCTGTTTTCTTGAAGACTGGAATAATGTACGATCTAGCTCAAGAAACCAGTGGAGCATTATTCATAGCTGAACATAGATACTATGGAAAAAGTAAACCATTTGAAGATTTAACTGCAGATAATTTGAAGTTTCTTAGTTCCAGACAAGCTCTTGCTGATTTTGCTCGTTTATTAACAACAATAAAATCAAAATTTGCAAATTCCAAAATTGTTGTAGTAGGTGGTTCTTATTCAGGTAACTTAGCTGCTTGGATGGAACTTATCTATCCTAATTTAGTTGATGCAGCAATAGCTAGCAGTGCACCGGTGTTGGCAAAACTAGACTTCTATGAATATCTTGAAACTGTTAGCGAGAATTTTGAATTACATGGGCCTGTAGGTTGTTGGGATATGATAGCCACAACTTTTACAAACTATGAGAAAGCTTTTGAAAGTAATGAAAGTATAATAGCCTTGAAAAAACAGGAGAACATTTGCGATAGCTGTGATATGACAAAACCACAGAATAAACAATTATTTTTTCTGGAAAAAGCTTCTGCATTTATGTACAGATCGCAGTATGGAAACCCTCGTAATATTAAGGAATTTTGTGATAGTAATTTCACTTCAAACTTTCGACAAATGGACGAATCAAGCTTACTTTGGAATGGTAAAAGCGAGTGTTATTCATACGACTTTGACGATATGATCAATATTGTGAAGCAGATTGACTGGTACACAGCGTGGATTTATCAAACGTGTACGGAATTCAGTTATTTTCAGACTAGTTCATCAGATAAACAACCTTTTACTAAAAATATTCCAATTGAACTTTATTACACTATGTGTACAAAATTATTTGGACCAGATTTTGACGAAACAAGAGTAAATACGGGTGTGCGAGATAGCAATATTCTTTACGGTGGTTTGAAACCGAATGTGACTAATGTTGTTTTTGTTAATGGTGATATGGACCCTTGGAGTAAACTTGGCATTTTAGAAGATTTATCCTATAAGGCACCAGCTAAAATGATCAGCCGGGCGTCTCACTGTCGTGATTTATTCTCTGATAGAGATGATGATCCAGAAGAATTAAAACAAGCGAGGATCTATATAAAGTATCTAATCAAAAGTTGGATCGGTGAAGGAGAATACAGGAGACCATAAAACATCGCGGATGATAATGAATTAAAATACCGAAATATGATTTCTATTGATTTTTGTAACATTAAATTCAATGATTTTTTATTAAATTTCCAAATATTCATTAATTATGAAAATAAAATCACAATTTGATAACTTTTCAAAATATTTATTTTTTAATAATATATATAAGCCTATTAATATGATTATTGTGTAAGGATTTAATAGAAAATAAAATAAAATGTGTCATTTATAAAAATGTTTGTTAAATTAATTTTTAAACATGTGACAAGTTTAATAAAATAGAATATTATTATTTAATGTTAAAAAAGTACCTCAGGTAGGGCTTGAATTCGTTTAGTAGAAGATACTATCATGGAGTTGCTCGGTGGTTTAGTGCATGGTGATTTAGGCGCCGTGTCCCGCGAACGTTGTTGTTAAGCAAACAAAGGTCGGTCACGGGATGGGTGGCCAAAAAATTATTAATTAACTACTCAGTATTTCAGAAGGCACGTTAAGCCATTGGTCCCGGCTGCATTTGCAGTCGTTAATACCCTCAAATCCGTTGAGTTAGCGTGGAGAGTTATGGCCCATTCTCCTTAACTATCCATAAGGAAGGTCTGAGCCCCTGCAGTGGAGTCGTAATAGGGCTGATGACGATAAGTATTATGAAGTAGTTGTTTAACATTTTGTAAATATCTTTAAGAAAGTAATTATTTTACGGCGTGAGCACGTAAAATCATAGAGAAAAAATATGGTCTAATATATACACAACCAAATATTTCTATTGAAATGTTCTATGTTGATAAAATGCGCATAGGATAGGAAGCTGAGAGGTTGGACCTAACTGTCAAAGCTTCCGATGTAATAGAAAACCTAAAACACCTAGAAAACCTAATAATAAACAATATTGTTCAAGATACGAGACAATGACAACAGATGTTTTCATTTGTGTTATACATTTTCGAAACAAAAACTTCGCAAATATTCCATTTTGTATTTTAAGTATATTGATATTTTATAATGGAAGGTAATTAATAAATAAAAAAAAGGAAATTTTATTAAAAATAAATTTTATATTTACTCATACACATGTTTCCTTAAAATAGGTTACTCGACCAACACCCAGCAATACACGATACATTTTGGATGTTGACAATTGTTATACAACTAATGTTACAGTTATTCCGGCAAAAATCACGTTTATATGTCGTTTTTTAAAGAACATATTATAATTGCAGTCCCAAAATAATTTACATCTTACCGAAGGGACCAATTCTTAATATTACTTCGTCAACAAGTGACCTTTCAGGTAAAAAAGGTATAAGTTGTCTTACATTATTAAGAAGCTTACATTAAAACACTCGTATAAAACTTATATACTGTCTAAATATGGTAACATGCATAGCACCTCCGAAACTACAATTTTGAAAAAAGAATCATTTACAAAATTAAAAGTGAATACAAAAGCTCCTAAGTAAATCGTTTACAATACTTACCTCTTCGGTAATAAAACGATTAAAAGTATACATTTTTATACCGCGAAATAAATTACAATAAAAGCTCATTGATTATAATTCAGTTGATATAAACTAAATAATAACATTATTCAATTGAGTATTGAAAGATATTTTAAAATAGCTAATTAAACAATGGGTAATTGAAATTGAAAATATTCTAATAACATATTTACAATAGATAGATATTTTAACATTAAAACGTACCTAAAAACCGTAAAATCATATATTTTTAAGTACAGCGATATAATTGTGGCATACGTGGTGACACAATTAATATTATTATAATTATAAGCTATTTACAGAGTATAAGAACTCAAAGTTCATTATTTTATTGCAAATTCGAAATATATAGCAATAAACATATGTCGTAAGAAATAAGTAAATGATGAATGAGTATTTAAACATTTGTAAAAGTTTTCCTAGACAGGCGACTTCATTGAAAATCTAATAGCATGAATATTTTATGTCATATAAAATAGAAATATTTCTTGTTCTGAAATTTATCAGACGTAAAGTAAAACCACTTATATCGTGATAATATTTTAGTTAGAAATTCAAAATTCGAATAACGTCATTCCAACGGATATTCCAGTGTCATAATTCGCGTAAAAATATATAACAGACAAATGACAAATATCGTCCAACTATTGTTTTTTTTAAATAAAACATTTTCGCCACGCTCTATTAGGAAAAAAAATTAACATTCGGAAACATTACTGACAAAAATATGGATAAAAAACATACACCGTCGTAGAACATATAACCTCCTTTTGGTTTTTGAAGTGGGTTAAAAACAAATGAGCTGAAAATAATATTACACTTTTTAAATTCAGCTTTCGATGTTATTAGTATAAAACCTACTTGTCCAGGATAATAGGTTTCCATTAATTTTATCTCTTCCAATTATTACGAAATCTAGATTTTAATACGTCTATATTTTGTAATAGTTTGTCATAGTCGCATTAATTTCGTCATAATTTAATTAATCCCTAATAAATTGTTTTCCCAACCCTGTTTTGACTAGGATTGACACCTTAATAGTAAATAGAAAAAACTTTACAATAAGACACAGTTGAACACACTGATATCGTGGAATAAGTGGCAGTGATTTATCTAATAAAAATATGAACTATTCATAAAATAATTATACCTATCTAGTATGTAAAATCCCCGCAGTACAATTTTACCTTTTTTTACATAAAAAGGACACATTCCATAATATACTTTTCTCAAATCAAAAGTTGGATTATTTGATTTCATAGGACTATTTTACATTTATCCAAACGAAGGACAAATATTATTCGACTTAAGCATAATATACAATAGTGACGATTATTTACATGTTCTTCAGGACATTATTTATTCAATTATACTGTTACATCAATATGAATATCTTTAAATATTTTTTTATAATTGGCTTATAGTTGCTTGAGTATTGCAGCTTTACTTGCTTTATATGAAACATTATAAAGTATATCTTCTTTTAAAAAATAAAGATATTGCTATTTGCTGCATTTTAAAAAACCGATATACACCCTCTATAGAGCACAATTTATTAAAAAAAACGATTAGCGAAAGCTTAAAAAGTCATATGGAATATTAATGTAACTGTATGCATGAGACTGATATCTATGCTCTAGTGCATGTGTTTGTGCCATTTAGTCCCATTCTCCGATGAACATGTGGCGAGCGTTAGGTGCCGGTGGTGGTGGAAAGCCGCGTCCTGGCATCGGTAGCCTTCCGTATAGCGCGTATGGGTCATAGTGTTCTCCATCTGCAAGTATGTGATTGTTAGTGTCTTGTTCCTTCTCTTTGTTTTGTTCCAAGGTGGAACTAATTAGAGATTTTTTGTCATATATTCTAAACGATCATAATATCTTGTTCTTTATTAAAAATTTGAGTAAGTAGTAGAGAAAATTCCCATTAGTTTCACTGTAGAAGATAAACTTTCTCTTGTTAACCATGTAAAGAGCAATGGAAAATCTTTTGCACCACATGTAGTTTTGAAGACTTTCGAACGGACCAAGACTTAAACATCAATGGAACTCGAAATGTGATGTTTGCTATATATAATTGAACGCCCAGTTGCACAAACGTATTTATAATGGTCAAAAGTTTAATAACGACTTTAAGCTTTAATGGATGTTCTAAAATTGAACATTTGTATCGATACTTAATATTTTAATGGGCGTTTGTGCAATGGGCAAACAGTGCGTTGTATTTTCACTACAAAACGATTGAGAATAAGATTCCTGTTCTCAATATTTTTTCTATGTTGTCAACTGGGGATAAGTATTCAATTCCCCTGTTTCATCATCCAATAACGAAACAGTCTTGTGTGTCTGTTAGGATTAGTTGAGAAAGGAAAGGCTATATGAAGGAGCCATAGTACTACATGATTTAAGTCTACCACTCAATAGCAAAGCTTGCGATGTTCAAAGTTTTTCTCAGAGAGATTTAACTAACAATATAGGAAATAAGAAATTGAATGTGAAAATGAAGTAATCGGTGATGAGATAGTTAATTTCGAAGCTAAGGCGAAAGGGGTGCTACCAAGCGAAGCTCGAAATAAAACGGAAAGATTTAAATACCAAGATTGGAGCGGAGATTCCGCGACGAGGCAGTGTGAATTTTATAGTGCGTGGTTAATATGTACATCTAGCGGGGCTGCTGGATGACGATCGGTCGCAGCCTGGTGTCCCTGTTAGGATAGAATTGGTACATGAGCTTCTCCTTTCTAGGGGGACGTTCGTACGCACCGATTCCGCTCTCGTATGAGCGTGCGTGCCATAGTGCCGCCGGTGGCATAGGGGCGTGTGCGAATGGTGGCATGTGCGGGGGGAATGGGCCGGGATGGGCGTGGGCCACGCTGTATCGCTTGCTCGGCACCGGCACTGGCGCCTCTTTCAGTGTGAGCCGCTCAGCCATCGCCGGCAGAACATGCTTCGCCCCGTTCGCCTTCACGAAGTTTGGTACGCGAGCTCGTAGACCGCAATAGTAAGGGTCATCTGGAAATGAGATTTAAAGTTTTTTTATTTTTATAAACATTCAATTAAATTCTTAAGTGTACCTAGCAAACACTCTATCAACGACTCCCTATTAATAGGCGTGTCGTTACAATTTGATCACTATAAAAGAATAATTTAAGCAACGTGTAAATAGGTGGTTCATTTATTCATTGGTTGTATATGATTTTTAAAAACTATAATTAAAAAAATAGCTTTTTTCTATGTAGAATAAAAGAATGACAACAAAGAAACTTTAAAATAGTGCGATACTACATAAATCTTGTGATAGATAAAATTAGAAAATATAATTTTCGTCTGAATATTACTTAAAATTGATGACATTACAGCTGTGCTATTCTAATTCAGCCCCGAACTCGACGTTGAGCGCAACTGTCGTAGTATAGAGGTCTAATGAAATAAAATCTACTTCAACTATAATAAAGGTTTCATTGAAATTTTTTGAATTGCTGTGATCGAAGTTGAGTTCGAGGCTGTTTTTAACAGAATATCATGACCGAACATCGCTCATATGAGTATGAATATGATATTATAATTTAATATCTATACTGAATATTATAAAGAGGGAAGATTTGATCGTTTTGAATAGGTTCCGAAATTGTCTGGACCGATTTGAATAATTCTTTCACCTACGGGAAATTACATCATACGCGGGTTACATAAGCTTTAATGTACGGCAAAGTTGCAAGAATCAAGTAACGAATCAGTAAATCACAGAAGTTTTATTTAACACTCCTTTATGGATTGTCTAGACTTCGTAATATTGTTTTACAAAGATATTGCTAAAAATGATGAGCAGACAAGTTCATATTACTAATAAGCTAGCACTTTCCATCTCATGTTCCGCATCCTACGATCGCCTCGTTCCAAATACCGTAAAACCAAATATCAAGGATACCATCCGAAATGCCAGTGCGAGGTTACTACACCTCAGGGCATTGTCTCGCTGTAACCTATGCACCTAAACTGAGAACCGAAGGCGACGGGCCGTTAAATACGTCAAGGAACGCACTAGATACGTCATACACAATCAAATATGCTCTATGAGTGAAACGTGACTTGTCCTCTAGTAGAATAACGTTCTGAGGGCTCATCAAGGTGAGATTTTACGAAAATATCACTTCTTAAACCAATGTTATTCTAAGGCTATGGTAATATTTGCTTAAAAAACATTTCATTAAAATTAAACATATGGTCGATTGTTTATAAAACAGTAACAAAAATTCCGTTAATTGTCTCGATAGAAAAAAAATCGTAAAGATGACTAAATAGGTTTTTTGGTTCGATTTTTCGACTAATATAGTTCAATGTATATAAAAATGTAATCTAAAATTACCAACAGTTTTTTTTTCTCAAATCAAGTGAGAGTGTCTTTACTTTCGATGCATATTTGTGAGGGAACGTAAGTGGAGGTACAAGAGGATCCTAAATCAATTTTCTGTATGCACATAGTAAAATAGCACGCGTAGAAATGCTTTGACTTAAACTCGAGAAACGTTTTGTTAACACCAAATGTCACTTTTCTCGGGCACGCCCATACGATATTTCACTTTCGTCCCGAGAAAAGTGACATTTGGTGTGAACAAAACATTTCTCGAGTTTATCATGCTACGCGGTATGGTTTTCTTCAGTTGGATTTGATTTCGAACTGTAAAGTCGTGAAGAATTTTAAAACAGGTATTCCAGGGATAACGCTAATTGCCCACAAAATTTGTCCAATTTCTGTTTTTGTACATTTAAAGATAAATTCACTTTTTTCAATAAATGCAAATGTCATAATGGCGGCGATTTAATGACAGACTTTAAGATAAGCAGACCAACGGTCAGTTGCACAAACGTCCATTAAAGACTAATGACGCCTTTCTATCTAATTTGTATGGGCATCGTCGCTTTAAACTAATGACAATTTAAACAATTTCAATGGAATTTTATTTAACTGACTGTTAATGTAAAAAGTGCAACATTATAATCATTAATAAACATGTAATCTATAAAGCGCGATAAGTTTATATCAAGCGCATACACCGTAATTACGATAGCTGTGAAAACCTCGTGAGATACAGATAAAAACCTGTAATAAAAAACCTAATAGGGTATTTATGCCCTGGTCGGAAAGTAGGACTTATTGTCTAGACAATATATAGGACTTATTGTTTAACAAATCAGATTTTATGTGGAATAAAATTATTCACTTTAAAAATCGAACCTATAACAAAACTATTTTGTTTTTATATGAAATCCTTGGTGCGTGAATCTGAATCGCTTTTGGTCGGTTTTTCTTTTTTATGTACATACGTTTTGTTTCTTTATCAGGATACTTAAAAGCTTATTCAGTTGCGTATACCCGTGGTAGGTTTAAAGAGGCTATATTTTACAGCAACGAAGGTAAATCTCAATGCTTGAAGTATTTATAAATGATGATCTGTCTTGTGCACACTGATATTGATATATTATGTTCACACTTGGGACTAGCCGGTGTTACCAGATTGCTTTGAGGGGAAAATACCAACTTTAAACAAAAGGAAACTGGGAGAGATATATTAAAAATATTTATATGTTTTCCCGCGACTTTGCCTGCGTAAATTATAGCCTAAGCCCAGGTGAAAGAATATTTAAAATCAGTAGTTTCTGAGTCTATTCCAATGCCAAATAAATAATTAATTCTTTCCTCTTTATAATATTACTATAGGTTAACTAAAAATTAGTGTACTCCAATTTTATTAATAACCAATATTGCTAATGTCAAAATTCTTCGAACGAATTGAAGCTTCATCTGTTGATGAGTAAATTCAAAAACTAGTTGCAGATAAGCCGGTTGTAATAAACCTTAATGAGTCGCAGTATGTATAGTATAATGAAATAAAATTTGAATTTGGTAACTTCTATTTCAAATTACGTAATTTTCTCACAAAACCTTTATAAATAAATGCTAGTACAACACTTTAAAAGAACAACTTTAAAATAAAGCTATTTATAATAAAGACGTAGTCCATCGATGAAAGCGAGAAAGCGCATAGCTTCGTTTTGGACGAGGATATGTCTTTCTGATAATAGCATAATCAGAGCCGTATGTTGGGGCTTGGACAATCCTATATATAAGTACTGGATTTCGGTGCACCAGAGCGACAACAGAAAATAATGTTTGACAATGTATAATACTACTGAATTTTATTTTAATAATTATTATTTTATGTAAGTTTTATTTATTTTTACTTGTACTTTATTTTTTGGAAATTATGCATTTGACTGTTTATTGGGTTTTTTATGCCTTGCAATAAATCATTATTATATATTATTATTATTATTATATTAGATTCATCAAATTGACTAAAATTTTCAGTGATTCTCCTTTAAGTAAATATTTAACGTAAAATAATGTAGAACTGTATTGCGATGAAAAGAGCGGAAATGCGACGAAAGTATGGCAACATTGTGCAAGACTGTATTCGGTTGGACGCAATAAATTGGCTCGACTGTCAACACTGTCATTGTATCACCTAGTACGACTTAACGCAGTATCGCGTTAATACTGGCGAAATAACAGCTGTAACTGCGTAAGCGAACATGATATCAAACATAGCTTTTATGTTTTATTATTTTTATTTGACGACTATGGTGTATGAACAACGTGACCAATTTTTCTTGCGATCAAATCGGGACATCGTTTTTGTAGGAAAATAGTGCGATAAGCCCACGCACCTCATTATTATACAGACGCTTGATTTTCAGTATCATAAGGTTTGTAACGGTCATATAAATATATTGTACTCATTGTCATTAATGAGTTACTATTGATTAATACTCAGAGGCCATCAGCACGTACCTCGTTGCTGATTGGCGATATTTTTAAAATGGCGGTTAGCGGTTACGGTTTCATTTTTTTTTTGCCTTCTTTTTCACTTGTTACGCAACCAACAATGTGCGTCCAACAAAATTTTCTCACCATTTCGAAAACGGAACAATTTTGCGTCCTGGGCTTATTATCAGGGACACCGGGACAGACAATCAAAAAAACGGGACAGTCTCGTTCAAAACGGAACGTCTGGTTACGTTATGTATGAAAAGAATTGGATGGAAAAAGCAGTCCTTGTGAAGTTTGTCGGCAAAGGATATTTTATATCCGAGGGGTACCTCCGTAAGTTTTTTATTCTGTTCACCGATTTTGTCATGAACTCATATTCAAGATTATTTTTTTATTCTAAAGCTAATAGGCCTAAGGTGGTCCTAAATTGCTTTATTGTTTTGTTATTATAACAAAATTAATGTAAGCGTTCTGTCAAATAGAACAAACACTTTGACGACATATTTGTGTGGCTTAAGAAAATTAAAGTCTCCGTATTTTGTAATGCCACATTGTGTGAGTTAGAGAGGTGATTTATATTATGTTAGTCAATTGTAATAACGCCTACAAAATTCACTGTCTTAATTACAGAGGTAACTATGAAGATAAAATAGAAAGAACAAATCCCAGATATAGGTGTTTGCTTCGTTCCAATAACAGTGCCAGGACCTGAGCGGTTCTAGCTATAGAAGTTTTCTATATAGCTTTGCATTTATAAAAATTTATAAACCTACCTCTTTGGATAGCGACGTAAAAATCTCAATGGTCATTTATCTTGTGTTTTAATAAAATAAATAACTTTAACATTCTGAACCTATTTTCAGTATAACACTTTGGACATTAAAAACAAACAATGAATAGTACTCAATTAACCTCGCAGGTCAATATGGGGATTCGTGATCGAAGTAAATATACAACCAAATAAAGTAAAACCGAATGAACCAACTGAATTCCAATTCGTTCAACGGTTGCACGATTCCCAAATTCCTTTGCGCCACTAACTTACAAATCACTAGAAAAAAATATTCATTATAAAACATTGACTAGTCCATTGAGGTTAATATTGACCAAATATAGGCAATGCCGTTTTTGCAGCGCGTGCGCCGCCTTAGGCTCAATTTACACCGCTATTTAATGGAATCGAAGCTAATTTTTGCATCGAAATGGTATACTTGTCCTTAGCATAATTAAACTTATGTTAGTCTATACCAATATTATAAAGAGAAAAGATTTATTTGCATTGGAAATTCTTCAAAACGAGTTGACCGATTTGGAAAATTATTTCACTTACGGGAAGTTACATCATGCGCGGGTGACATAGGCTGTGATTTACATGAAGAAAGTCTCGGGTAAATAGCTAGTTTTGTAATATACAAACAAAAAAGGAGCCAAAGAGTCCACGTCTAACAACTATGCGCGTCGTTTTTATGCTATAAATTCACTTCCATTCCACGGCAGTGTAAATTAAGCCTTAGTATACCGGCTTCCAGATGACGAGAATGTTGCGACTTGTACTATGAAATTTATTGGTTGGGAAAGTAATTAACTTTATATCTTTCTTTTGTAGTACAGGGTAATACCGTTCATGACTCACATATTATTTTTCTTTTGCTTTTTATATAAAATTTATGCTAATTTTGATCCTAGGCGGTTTCATTTGTGTTTCTTTTTTGGTGATCTCTATCAAAGAAATGGTTTCTCAATTACGTGGGTTATTATTTTATGTGTAGAATTTTTCACAAAGATTAAATCTACTTCGAACTTTAAAGTGTAGTAGACTCATTAGTAATAATAGTAACTCTATTTAGAAGTAATATGTCTATTGCTCATATCTTAGTTACAATAAATTGTTTCATTATTTAATCAAAAACGGTTACAGAATTTTAATAAAGTAGGTAAATAGTTTTAAAAACACTGACTAATTAAGGCCAGTATTTATTGAAACAACCTAACAAATAAAATCGCTATCTCCTTGTGTGTTGGCGTGGCAAACATTTTTTATTTGTTTAGCAAATTGTAATGGAATCTAGTCTTACTTTCAGACGAAGTTAATTATAAATTAAATTGTCTACTTGATGCAGTTGTGTGTCAAACAACCAGCTTGGCATTATCAAATTACCGATTCCCATTATTGAATTTTGTACATTTCCGTTACATAGTACTTCAATACTTTACGAAAAAAAAAATAACTTACCGTACTTCTTGTTGTCTTTGCCTTTATCAGATTTACCACGTGGAAATTGTGTTGGTACGCGACCATTTTCTTCGATATCATCGTAGTCGGGCTGAAAAATAATAAAAAAAAGATGTAATTATAAACTAAGATGATCATATTAATGTCCTCCCATTGCTGAGGCTCAGAATGGATTGAAATAAGATGAATGGACCATGGTCCACCACACGAGTCCAACGTGGAAAAGTGAGTGTTAACGCTTGTAGATGCAGCCGAACGGTTTAACATGCCTTCCGGAACACGATGGAGGATATAATAAATTTTTCCCACCTATCCTATGACGGGCCCTTGCGAAAGTTGCTTAATTTTTGCATCGTAGACCGAATGCGCTTTCGAGCTATAGCTCTAAAACAGTAAATAATAAATATAAGAATGTTTTATTTTACCACTTACAAACGGGTTTACAAAGTTATCTTAAATATAAAGGAATTCACTGAGTAGTTATTGTTTTTTTCACTGCCATTTACATTTACAATGAAAGGAAAAAGCGACTCCAAAATCAGGGTGGCATTAATAATTTGCACGGCTGATAAGATCTGCCTGTTATATGAACATAGGTCGCCCGCAATCGACCGATACCAGGCTAAAAGATTGTAATGCGCCCACGCACAACAATTTATCTTGGTCTTTTTACAACGGCGGTTTCGCTTTCACACATCGCGCGATAACTAGATCACGTGGTCGTGTTTTATTTGACATTTGAGCGTTTCGTATCGTAGGCCATATGTGGCTTTTTATCTATTTTTTCTTAAAGTTTTCACACTTTATTTATAATACTTTATTTAAATCATTAAATGGATCCATGCTCCGTGGCTTAGTGGATAAGCACCGCGGCCCGCGAACGTTGTTGTTAAGCAACTTTCGCGAGGATCGGTCCTGGGATGAGTGACCAAAAAATTATTATTTCAAGCTACTCCACTGTTCAGAAGGCACGTTAAGCCGTTAATCTCGTTGCTCGTTGGTTAATACCCGCATAATCCGCAATGGGCCAGCGTGAAGCGTTATGGCCCATCCTTAACCAAGTCAAGGAAAGCTTGAACACCAGCAGTGGGGACGTAACACTTAAAAAAAGTGAATAAAAATGTAGCTTTAGTTCATCACTTGTTTTCATCCAGGGCAACAATCATATCTCACGTCCAACAAAACAATTGGATTATTATGAAAAAGTGAAAATAACACTTTGGGACTAAGTAAAAAATACCCTTTGGGATAAAGTGAAAAAGTACACTTTGAGACAAAGTGAAAAAATCCACATTGGGACAAACTGAATTTATAAGCAGTATTCATTAAGAATATTTTCCAGTATATGGCATCGTGAATGCAAAGTTGATCAAATATAAACACGATTGTAGTAGTAAATACAAAGAAATTTTATAAGTGCGCCAGATAATAGAAAAATATTAGTTCCTTTTTTTGGTTTAATTTAATGAGATAACCGGCAAAGTTTGGGGCTCACAGCTTTGTAGAAAATATATAAAAGCATGACGTCAAGTGAAATTTTGAACTCAATGTTTTTCCGTAATTTATTGATTACCCAAATAAAATAAATTAAATACTTGTTTAATATTCTTCAATAAACTACCTGAAGATAGAAAAAATAAAAAAAAAATGTCATTATCAAATATTGTACATTATTTTTTAATTCAGAAGAAAACTCTTCAGAATTTAATGTATGAAAAGCACTAACGGAAGAGACTAAGAAAAAAATATAAACCTTCTTATATTAATTTATACAAGTAATTTTGAGTAAAAAGTAATTTTATACAAAATAAACCAAGTAAATATCAAATACATGCGTGGAAACAATAAGCAAATAATTATTATCATTTTTAAACTAAGACATTTTTTCAAATAACCAATAACAATGAAAATTTATTTCTAAATTAAAAAGAAATCTGTGGTTGTCCCACTAAATTGACTTAATTTAACGAAAATTATTGGAATCGCCATTTTGTTATCTCTTTAGAACGTATAATATCTAAAAGTAATTTTATTTTATTGCAATAATCGTTTTGTTGATTATCCGATAATTGTCTATTTATATTTAATAAACTATTTTATATTTAATGTTGCCTAACATACGATATTATTCTAAGTGCTATGAGTACTGTTTAACGTATTAGAATATAGCTTTCTCCCATAACCTAAGCCATTTAAGCTTGTCGATATTAAAACTGAAACTCAATTGACACACAAAAGTCATTGTTCATTCGTTTGTCGAATGGCGGCTACATATTACAAGATGGTTAAATAACTGAGGGTAGAATTAAGGCAGTATAATAGTGGAATTGAAGCATTGATATCAATGCAACGCGATTGTATAGAGAGAAGATATGATTTCTATTGATCATATTTAATGCGATGCGACTAAATCTTACTAAAAACATATTCATGTAAATTGTTTCCAAATCGAGTGCGTTATCAGATCTAGTATAGCGAGATTCTAACTCTACATGCCGTAACGCTACGAGCCCTTACTTCTCAAACCTAATTCAAAAAATGCGACTCGGCCGTTCCGCTACCGTCAAATGAACTTAAGGTGAAACATTTATCTACCGTTCATTACTTTTCTGTTACACCATAGTTCATTCATTTGTGAGAACTATACAATCAAAAATTTGGTACTACAAGAGTACCTTATAATTAAATCTGTCCTAAATATACAATCAATTGAGCTCTGTTGATAGTTATAAGTAAGTGGAAATTGTTTTAGTATAAATTAAAACCGTTTTTTATTACAATTAATATGATTATAATAAAAATATCATTACGCCAAAAGTATATGTGTTTTGTAGGGTTATAATGCAATTTTGTGAGTAGTGATCGAGCCATTTGCTTTTTCGAATAAGACTTTTTTTATTTAGTAAATAAGTTATATTAATTTTAAAATACTAAAATTACTACTAAGATATATTATTAATTTGTCCCTTATTTTAAGAAAACAGTAGTTTTTGTTAATTTATATTCGATGAAATATTGGTCACGTAATATGCAATTGGTCTTTTTCATTCATTTTTAATACGACTCTTACGATTATCTCTCTTATAATATCATTGAGTTCGTAAATACGAAATGATTACAAATAATTCCGCAATCCTCTCTCAATCTCACTTGCCGCCCTACACCTGTATTTAGGCACTTTTTTCAATTCAAAATCGCATTATGCTGTTGGAAAACAAGTAAAAAATATATAGTGCGAGAGGCGGCGTGTTATTATTTTTTCAATTACATCAATTATTTAATAGCAGAATAAATTGAAACGCAAATTGCTGTAAAAAAAAAACATGTGACTGTATAAAACCAAAGAGTATTATATGTTTTGTTGTCTTAATCCTATTAATATTATAAAGGCGAAAGTTTGTAAGTATGGATGTATGGATGTTTGTTACTCTTTCACGAAAAAACTACTGGACGGATTTGGATAAAACTTTACAGCAATATAGGTTATACATCAGAATAACACATAGGGTACTTTTTACTGGGAAAACTTCTCACTCCCACGGGATACCGACTTCCACGCGGACGAAGTCGCGGGCGTCCACTAGTAACATATATACCGTCGAATGTATTTGAAAATAGGTAGGTGTGACTGTTTATATTTTTATGCCTGTCAGTGACGATATTCATCAATCAATCTTAAAAAGTATGTAAAAACTAAAATATATACACAACACCAACATAAACGGACAAATATTGAATTTCAAAAAGTATATTCGATACTTGATTTTTTCTGTAATCAAACATTTTTATTGTAGTTATTTTTTCAAAATTCTATTTTCGTAATTTATACTAATATTATAATAAAGTAAAGTTTCTGACCTTGTTTAAAGGGCTTTCTTCTTCGGAAATACTAATTCGATGATGGCAAACTACATTATACGCGGGCTACATAATCAAAAGCTATAATTATTGCGGGCGAAGTTGCGGGAAAACAGCAAATTCTCAAAACTTGAGAAAATTTAAAAGTTGTAGTACTACGTACCTTCAAATAATATTAACATTATATTACTACCATAACATAATTAAGTTGTATGTTTTGTTCTCACCATTTTTCATAGCTAATGTGTAACCCTTACACTTGTTGTTAATGTAATTTGCAATGCAATTTTCACTTGTAACTAAATTACTTGGTTTCTAACCGCATATGATGTGTATCGAATCAAAATTGCACGTAACAAGTTCACATTGGTAGCAACTCTGTTGCAGAAGTTAGACTGAGTTTAGATTCAGTTGTCAAACTGTATTTTCAATTGAAAAAATAATTAAAGTAAGAGAAGTAAACTTTTAATATTATTATATACAGACGTATTATTATATTACTTTCATTAGATATGTTTATAGGATAACGTTAAAAGAAATTAAAGTGAGAAATATTAATTTAGTTAAGACAGTATACAACAGAATCAGCACCATTGTCTTGTGAGTGAAACCAGCCGTCATTCATTCAATTATTTGAAGGGCATAACCTTTATTTATCAATTGATCTGGTGAACAAAATCAGGTGATTGATTCGCACTTAGTTATAGAAAAAAATAATAATAAGACAACGAGTTCTCTAGTTTCCTATGATACGGATCAAATGTTAATTCATGGTCGTTATGGAATTTGTGACTATTTAAATTATTTAGTGATTACAAAGTAATCTATTGAAATAGGATTTCCAGGAAGCATTCCTAAATATGCTGAGATGGCTTGATAAGTTCCGTAAAACAAGCGCAAATTACGCTATGAAATCGACCGGAGACGCTCACGGAGAGAAGAAGTGGCTTATGATATGTCTGGCATTCGTCAATATTGTGGCAATTGGGATTGGCCAATATGTTGCGCAGCCGCGAAATCCACCGAAGTTAACTAAAGGCATTCCAGTTTCCAACGTGTGGACGATATCACAATGTTTGCTAATATTGAACGAGCATGTGCCAAATTCAATGTCAGCTTTTGTGCTGTGATGGTTTTACCGCGGTAGAAATATTATTTGGTTCATACTAATGTATGACATAAAACGAGACAACAATAACAATGCCATATAAATTTGTTTCCACCTTGAAGATGGAGATAGATACTATTAGGGTGCTCCTCCTCTTGCTTGCCCCTAATATATAATTTTTAAACCTCGCCCTTAAGCCCTATGGTATAAATATGTGGACCAATAAATAACAAACCTTGGGTATATCAGCGGGACCGTAGCCGTTCTCCCTCGCCGGTAGTTTCGGTGGTTTATCACCCCTCCTTTGTCCCATTTGCATCATTAGCTGTTCCCTGGTTGCCGCCACTACACTGTGCCCATTTCCATGACCGTAGCCACCGGAGCTTCCACTGGATCCTGAACCGTTGGCATTAGAGCTGGCGATGCTGTAGGGGTCCTCGTCAGGGATCGGAATGCGAGGTCGATTCTTGATATCTATCGGTCTTTGAACTGTGAAAGAACACTGTTATTAGATTTGATAATAGGATACCAGAAAAATAAGGGATATTTTGGTTAAATAATAACAAAATTTTTTACATTTATAATATAGATATAAATTGATGATTATAATACTAGTAGTTATAAAGTATTTTGCCTCTTGCTATTTTATTTTAAACTTGCTGACCCGGCGAACTTCGTACTGCTTTATACCCGCTTTTTATAAATTTTCTTATTTACAAACCTTGTCCTGACAATAAGGAACACATCAAAAAAGAATAATAATAATAATTTTCTTTTTGTTTTTTATATATGTGTATATATTTTTTATTACAATTAGGTATAAGTGTAGTACTAATTGGTAATTAATAAAACTAATTTTATCTTCTCTTCTCGTTTTGTGACACAATTTTTATTTGCTCAAACAATTTAAGGACCTAATTTTTTATCGGAAATATTCGATTTCTGTTTTTATACACTGGAAGAATATTCTTTTCAATAATTCCTTTTTATTACCACCAAACATTACATACAAAGTACATATATGCAGCGTCTATAAACTACCTATTCCTCTTCTTTTATTTATAAACTTCAAATAAAATATTGATAAATGAAATTGGTAACGTTAACCGAATGTTAATGAATGTTATAACGATATCTAAGGTATAGATAGACAAAACCAATTACACATTACGAGTATGTCTAGTCTCTCATTCATGCCATTTTCATAGTCTAAGTGTCTTCGATGATTCTACAATTGGAAACATTTAGAGACCGTTTCACAACATGAGTGTTTGTCGTGATGTTCAGATCGAGCGGCAATCAGCCCCCTTCACGACTCTACAACCTATGGATATTAGGCACGCGGCATTATTGTTGAACGTTTGCAATTCCTTCTATCATTATTTCCATCTAAAATCGACGTTAATTGTTGCAGTAGATGAATCTGGAATATCAGTAGGTAACTCTGTAAAGTCTGCTGATGATCATATTTCATGAGAAGACGTAAATAAACCAAAATAAGCTATCACAAATCACTCCAAAAAAATAAAATTACTATTAATAACTACAACATTAGTTAATATAACTTTAAAAAAATTCAACTAGTTAATGGTTTCGAAGAAAAGATGTAACAGACGGAGAGACAGACAACCGAGTGATCTGTGAGTAAAGGGTGCTTTTGAATTTGGGCGAAGATCGGCTGGCTTGACTCTAACCCTTAACTGCCAATCCTGGATCAAATTGGAAACATAGCCTCTCAAAAAAGATTCATCAAAATCGGTCCAATATTAACGAAGATATTGTACATGTGAAAGATACACTCAAACGAATGTATGCTAGAAAGCAGTCAACCGAATTGATAACCCCATACTTTGACGGCGGTTAAAGAAAATTAAAGCTACAAGCAAACTAGCTAAAGCTATTCGATACCTAATCATTCACATTACTCATTAAACTTAGACGTTACAAATGGATTTGATTGTAAGATGTAGCAAATTTAATTTACAAAAATGACCTTCTAATTAAAAATTTTATTACAGAAAATAAAAACAGTGATGTTATGTCCAAGTTTCATCAAAGCGCTTTAGTTCCATTGATGAAATTGTGTCGAGATGCACCTATTATAATGGATGATGAAGCATAAACTGTTATTAATAGCGTAAGAGTGGGAAGCAACAGGCAATTACTAAATATGGTCCTAATTATGAGACCTTTTGATTCATCATAATGTACGGTGGCATGAATAGCCACAAAGGTATCCATTAAGTTAATACGCCTAATAATTTATCGATATAGAATTTAAACAATTGAACTTTTAAGCGATTGGCTATGGGACTGATTTTATGATCATAATGTTACAGAATATGAAACGCTGCGGTAATAATACCTTCAAAGGTTGTAAACATTGAAATAGTTTATTTAGAGGTGACTAATACTTACAAGGATATTGTTATAAATTTTTATTCAGAAAATAGGTAGGTAGGTAGGTAGTAAAATAAAAGATTAATGTAAGATGCTTATTGTTTGATCAAAAAAGCCACCTTTCCTAAGATTAAGTTTTATAAAATACGACGAAACAATTATTTTTTGGCATAGTTGCTTATACGCCAGTTTTAGTGATACCATCTGTGAGGTCCCTAATCCGATTCCAGTAGGGTCAAGGAACTTTTCTATGATGTCTTGTCTCTAGGTTTCTTGGTGTTGTGGTACCTTCTATAACACAAGGACTTTTTAGCCACCCGTGTTTAGTTTAGAATCTGACCATTAATACTGTAATTAATACTGTATTTTTTTGGTAATTAAGATATAATTCTGATTGGAGGCAGACCAAACTCGCAAATAAAGATAACACGTATATGTCCAAAAGCTATAATCACTGCTGGATTATAATTGATATATTTTAGACGAAACTAGACATAGATGTCTTTCGTATGATAAACAGTTCGCACATATCTTAAGTTACCAAGATTTGTGTGTGGAAATACCGCAGACGCTATGTCGCAACGGGGTTAGAATCCAGATTAGTTCATTCAATGACTGGAATGCTAATGCGAAATCCGCAGATAGAGCGATTATTTATCTTTGCTCAGAAACTTACGTGGACACACTAGCTTATTAGACAGATGTTTGTCTTATACACAAAACGAAGGAGGCGAATACCCGCACTTTTCATGGTCTAATACGGGGGAATCATCTTAAGACCACTTTCCTATTACGATCACAAAGTACTTCTTACTGTATTGCATGGTCAGTATTTTGCATAACAGCAGTCACGGTTTCATCTGATCAGCTCTATTGATATTTCAATTGACGGTGATTTCTGAGTTTTAGTGATTTCAAAAAACTGAATAGGTTATATGCAAATCCAATTGTTCCAATGATCTAGTTATGACATCAGTCATGAATAATAATGTCATGACCTTAGTTACGAAATCGAAATGCGATGGGCTTTGTCATGTACATGTTAACAATGCATCGACTCAACATGTTCCTGATTCTTATTCGATAAGAGTAAATTAATAGGTAGAACTTATTGGATCAACGTTGTTGATCTTATCATGACTAATGCTGGGAGCAGCCGACAGAATGCATCAATAATATATCGTTAATGGGTACCAATTATTCAATATAGAATACGGAAGCTCTGATGCATTACAGGTAAACAATTGAAGTTTATATTAAAACTTTTACCACAAAATACACATAGTTTACGTTAATATCTTTGCTTACTGGTCCCCACGGTAAAGTGTCACGACTTCTACACAGAAAGCATTAGCTACGTTTCGCAATAGATTTATTTTAGTTCTTCCAAGCGATAAACAGTGACTAGACCGCGAAACCACTGTAGAAAATCTAGGAACATATCTTATCCGAGTTGGAAAATCACGGGAATCTCACACTGCGGTTTCTTTCCCATGATTTGAACAAAACCAATATTGTATGTTCAGTTTTTGCTAAGTTGGCAATATGGTTTGGATAAGTATATTGCTATGTAGTACCAACATAAGTAGTTAGAGTGAAATGAGGTGCAATACACAATGAGATCGAAGGAATATTACATTATTTCTCAACAGCAAATGAGACTATTGAGAATGAAATGATTAAGTTCTATTCCTATTACTTTTGATATATTAAATTTGACGTGTTTCTTACTTATTTATTTATCGCATATTTTCTCAAATCACAAAGCAATATATGAATATATGAAATTATTCCCGCTAACTATTCGATTAAACTATATTAAAATTTTCCTTCAACAAAACTGATACTTTGTATGTGACTGCAACATTGCAAATTCAAGGTGAACCGAAATACAATTTTAACCAACTTATACTGCATCTGCCGAGTCAGCTGCTTATTATAATAATACGACTTCCGGAAATTTGTGGTCAGTAATGAGTACACTTTCATCGCTACATGACCTTGTAGTAAAACGTTTACAATATGTCGATCCCTATTTATATTATCATCGGTTTATCATACCTCGTTTTAAGGTCGTCTTAAATTATCAGCTTTATAATCGGTACTTATTTTAACGATCTTTTCCAAAGACGGAGAAACAAATCATCATTCGATTAACGTGAAATCAGTTGTTTTGTCCATTTATGTAATGCTAAAGTGCCGGTTTTCGTATTTTACTAGGAGCAACATAACCATTAGTAAATAAAGATTATATATTAACATTATTTCTTATTTCAGAGTCATCAATATTTTTATATAACTCATGTACTCGATGTGTTGTAAATTTGCTTTGTGTCTTTGTGTTTTTAAAATGTATATAAACAAGTATTAAGCAGTTCATGTAGTTGTTCTGTTACTTGCAATACAAGAGTTAATGCAGGGGTGCTAAACCTAAGCGTCCGAATTATGATGAATGAAGTTATTATAAATAAAATCTGGCTATTTTTGAGACTTTTATTTATTCAGATTCGTTATTGATAACAAGTATGACTTTGACTAGACTATATATTTGTTATATCGCGTGAGAATATTCTATTGTAAAAAAATAAATTTCTTGCATTCATTTGTGTTAATGATTATTTAGAGGTCGGTTTATTGTTAGACTGTGTAATGCGGGGGCTTCGTACTGAGGTCTGGCACAAGGTAAATGTATCATAAAAATCTCTGCGATATGTTTTCAATTAAACCAATAATTTAGTAATATCTGTGAATGTCTTAGGTATTAAGGTTGGTATAGTAATCTGTGCTATTGAGATAATGTCAGTCATATCATTTTATATAAGTATTCAGAATTGAAATTCTGAAGTCTTAGAGGCATGCGATACATACTTTAGCAGATTTTTCTTGCATCATTTACTGGTTTATTTTAAGATTTTTGGCGTTACCAATACATACTTGATATTTTTTCAATTACCTAGATCTCATTTCTATTTATCTATCTTTGGATATTTTGGTAATTGCTTTAATAAATGGCTATGTCGCTTCATTGAGGCATAACGGTCTATTTTTGAATATTTACATCTAGGAGTTTCTAGAATGATGTAGGTATAATAATAATTTAGCCCTTTTATTCGGATCTTATTGTTAATCTCTTTACATAACCAAACTTAGATTTAAAAAATATAACATGAAATTATCTTATTCTTATTAATTTAATATTTCTCGTTTCTTTATTTTCTGTAGATCCGTCTGCCAGTCGGCAAAGGCCTCTTCCAACCTTTTCCATTCTGCTCGTTCCTGAGCTACTCTGTTCCACGTCGTTCCTGCCACTTGTCTGATATCGTCATCCCACCTTTTCTGAGGTCTGCCTCTCGTTCGCTTGCCCTCTCTAGGGTACCACTCAGTCACTCTTTTGCTCCATTTGTCTTGGCCCCTCTGCATGTGCCCTGCCCATCTCCATTTAAGTCTTCTAATTTTTCTAGTAATATCAATGACCTTTGTCTTGTTTCTGATCGCACTGTTTTCCATTCTATCTAATTTCTTCACGTTGAGCATACTTCTCTCCATTGAGTATTGGCAGGTTGCCAACTTGCTTGTCAAATCCCGAGTTAGAGTCCACGATTGGCAGCTGTACATTAAAACGGGCAATATACATCTATTAAATAGTTTGCTTTTCATGCTTATATGTAGTTTTTTGTCTTTCATTACTTCTTTTAGTCCCCAGTACCTCTTCCAGCCATTAGTAATTCGTCTCGTAACTTCCTTTTGCATGGGCTCGTGTTGAGTTATGATCTGCCCCAAATATATATATTACGATATATTCATCAGTGTAATGTATTTCTTTTTGTTCTAGTTATATTGTACTTTTATTTCCGTTTGTCATTACTCTTGTTTTTTCTGGATTCAGTTTTAATCCTACTTTATCACTTTCTATCGCAAGTTCTCTTATCATTCGACTTATATCGTTTGAAGTTTTGGCAAATAGCACAATGTCATCAGCAAATCTCAAGTGCGTCAGCAATGTCCCGTTAATATTAATACCAAGCTGTTTCCAATTAAGTTTCTTGAAAATATGTTCCAGTACCGCTGAAAACAGTTTTGGTGACATGGTGTCGCCTTGTCTTACGCCTCTTTCTACTGTAAATGCTGTGCTTTTCTTTTCCAACTTAATCTTTGCTGTGCTATGACTATATACGTTTCTTATTAATCTTATATATTTTTGCTCAATTCCTTGTTCTTTTAGTGCCTCCCATATTTTTGCGTGAATCAAAGTATCAAACGCTTTACTATAGTCGATAAACGCGATATAGTATGTAAGGTTGTATTCGTTATACTTCTCAAGTATTTGACGTACTACGTAAATGTGGTCGATAACTGAGTAGCCTTTACGAAAACCTGCCTGCTCTATAGATTGGTGTTCCTCTAGTGTACCTTCTATCCGTTTCAATATTATTTTAGAAAATATCTTGTACAGGTTTGACATAAGGCTTATAGGACGATAGTTGCCAATATCGTATTTATCGCCTTTTTTATATAAAAGGATGATGTTAGACTCCAACCACTGGTGCGGAATAATTTCCGTGTTTATGATATCGTTAAATATATCCGTTAGAACCGGTATGCACACCTCTTTACTTTTTTTAAGATTTCGTTATTTATTCCGTCGGGTCCTGGCGCTTTGTCTACGTTCTGGGTTTCAATAGCTTTTTTTACTTCAGATGTGATAATTCTAGGAACATCAGAGGTTTCTTCTAGATCAACTACCTCGTTTATGGTGTTACTTGCATATAATTTCTTATAATACGTTGTATATATCTCTCATCTCTATAGCTCTATAGCTATATATCTCTATAGCTGAAATTATTAGTTTTATTAATGCTACATCTGTCATAATATAAACGGATGTAGTACAGTATTCAGTGTGGCGATATTTCTCCGTCCCTTTGCTTGGTGTTAGGCAATTTATTTGGTATGACGCGTATTGTGCGTCCATGTCTCGCTTTGGCGCTGGTTTTGTGATTTTTCCACTGATCTCGCTCGTTTTCTATGCCATTGTGGTGCCTTAGGCGGTGTGAAATCGCTTCGTCTCCATTGTCAAGCCTAATGATGCTCCGTGTATCTGAATCCAATCCGATTGTTTAAATAGTTTAAAGCGCCATAAATTATGTATGTTTAAATCCTACTTCAGTTATAAATTGTAAATAAATAATTCCATACTTTTTTTTTATTTATCACATTCAACCTGTTAGTTTCGGTAGCTGTATTGAGATGGATATTAGATCAGCATATTAAAATGAACATATTTGTATAGAGTTGTTTTCAATATGAGTCAACAATTGACTGCGGTAGGCCGATTTTGTACTTGAATGACCTTTTAATAAGTTGCTAAGCTAACATACTTCGTCATTAGTTAGTTATTTGGTACATTATTATCCACACATACTTGCGTAACTGGTCAATTACTAGAAGTAAAGTCAATATGTTAAATATCGCGGAAGCACAGTATACGATTCGTCAAAGCCGAAATAAGTGAACACCCAATTTATATTTCATAATGACATTACTAGAGTGAACATTCAGACATACTTATTTCCTTGTTGAGTTTTTGTTACTAGTAAATTAGACTTTGCTAAATAATCAATACAATTTATAACTAGAAGTTCTTCATTTGTAACATATAACAGTCTCTGCTATAAATTATTTGATATCAAGTTTCATTTAAATGTTCCAATATTTTTTTCGAAATTATTTTTGAAAATACTGATATAGAGTTCTAACAAAAGAAAATATAATCACAATTCTTTATTGAAAGAAAAACGTTACTGACGAAGGTCAAGGTTTCTTACTAATAATGTATTAAAATATATCACATTTATAACGTAGGTGACTAAAATATATGTAATGAAGCTCCAACTAACAAATCATACAAAAACTGTCGATAGATCACAATCATGGGAGCCGTGGTGAGTCGCTAAGATGGTATCACAGTAAATAAAGCATGGGCAGTATGACATAGCACGCATAGGCAACTTTCTTTTCTTATTCTGCATTAGATAATCTTTGACGAGAAGAACTTATGATAGATAGACAGATAAAACGTTTATTTTATCAACTACACACAATTAAATTGACAAGTTTTAGTATAATATATAAAAGAACAAAAATGTAACAAATACATAATTATGTACCCTGTGTGTGGCAGTTAAAAAAGTCAAACCTCGGTCCATTTAAATCACCCAGAAATGGGCAAAGCACCGGTCTTCAGTCGTCACCCAGTCAACTGCGTGGTAAAGTAGCTAGCAGTCTTAAGCTGTCGTTATTCGATACTACCCAGACAAGATTGAGTCAAGGTTGAGTACCATGGTGTTACGATAGCTTCGTCGTTTTAGATTTCCATGTTGCATTTTAAACTGCGCCTAATTAATGTTGTGTTTATTTAATCTATATTTATTATTATCTCTCTTATAAACCTATATATGTTAAAGGTAAAAAGGAAACCTTTTTAAAGCATTAAACGATAAAGTTACGATAGAATGAAAACTTAATGTTCATATTGATAAGTATGATTTTAATAACAACATTTGTGTTTAGAATCTTGATAGTAAAAAATAGTGAGTATATTTTCAAAATGAAAACTTTGTTTTGGAATAACAATAGTCGATTAATCAGTGTAAACTTCAAAAGACTTAGTGTAAGAAGATAGATGTTTACTGTATGTATACACACTGTGTAGCTTTGAACTTGAAAAGATGATATCAATAATAGTTTTTAGTGCGGATGTTTCCATTTTTTATGTGAATTATGAAGTAATATATATTATAGAACAAACGCCTCATAAGTATTACTAATATGTTACCACCACTCGTAATGTACGCAGTTAAAATTTTGTAACTGACAAATCATAATAATCTGATTTAGTTTTAAAAACACTAGGAGAATTATTCTTTCAATTTACATCAACAGTATTTAAAATATTTTTTCTAACTTCCCATCAATTTAAGACGACAGTATATATCCTTGAACTTTAACTATTTTTTGAAATAGGCTATGATCATAATTATTTTAAAATTTAATGGACTGAATGATCCTTTAGTATTATGCTTAAACCAACATAATTGAGCTAAAAATCAAATTTCGGCTAGGTGGATGAGCTATTGACTGTATTGCAGGTTATTTTTGGTGTAATAATACACCAATTCATAGGCCAATCATTTTTTTTATTCTGCTTTACATATTTTTTAAACATCACTTAGTTTCATAATTGAAAGTTAAAAAGAAATATGAGATTTCATAGATGCACCGACATTATATTCAAACTTAAATAAAAACTAATATGTGGCATTACACGACGATAGGATGATTCAATTTCGAAATTATGGATTAACATAAGATTAAGCTTCTTATTTTATTATTGGAGTATGTTTGTAAAGCAAGATCAAGCCTAATGCTTCATAAATCAATAATTTTACATGTACTTTAAGTCATGATAATAAAGTTTAATTTTAAACAGACACGTGAACATGTAATTGGACTCAGTGACAGTTTTATACCAAGGTCAGACGTGACAACCGGATACAAGTCCCTTGTGGCCCACACTAATCTATATAACTGTTTAAACATATTATAATGATTGATTTCTTAATGGATATTGTTGAGCTGAAGGTGAAACTGTTAAATTGTCTTAACAGTCCATTGAAAGTGCAATTAAAGTCTTTGTTAACTACACAATAACATAACAAGAGCGATTTCAACTCACGCGTCAAATCTGTTCTAAGTTAACGAATTATATATATAAATTACTAGTCATAAATATAAAGTAGCTATTAAGATTCTCGTTAAATAAGCAAAAAATGTATCGTAACAATTAAAACGACCAATTTGGTCAGTTATCGAAATCCTCACGACAGACGAAATAAATGTGAATTAAATAATAGAATCCATACTTGATAAAAGGTCAGTAAAAAGTAGTAGTAACGACAATAAATATACGCTAACAATTATAAACAAATTACCTGGGGGCAACTTTGATTTGAGCATATCCATAGCGACTACGTTGATGACCAGCACCCATATGGGACAGTCCAGCAGATCTCCGTCACTCTTCACGAATGCAACAGCGCTCAGGCACTGCGTTTCCAGCCTTCTACGATCTGGGTACGCGCGTCTCAGCTCACGGTTTACATTTGACTGGAATTTCTTCATATCGAACAGCTGTATAACAACAATTTCATTAAATTCATGGTACATGTACATAAAAAAAACTGCTTCTAGAATTCTATAATTCAACTAAAATTCTATTTTAATCCTAAGTTCATTTAATAACTTTATGGGATATTTGACTGCTTTAAGATTGAATCAAAATTTTATTTCAATCGCTTCATCATACAAATAGTATTTATTAGTTGAAACTTAAACGATAAAGTTTTTATTTAAATAACTTAAATAAGTCACATAATCTTAATGAAAAATGCTTAAGAAATTCACTTTGTACCTGGTACTCTGAGATGGGATTCGAACCTACGACCTTTTGCATTCCGGCTCTGCGACCGTTCCAACGACTGAGCTAACAGAACTGACGAATCTTTCAAGCACTTTTTACTTTTTCGCTACCACAGAACGTATTTTTATCAGTGTTCAGGTAATAGAAAAATACCATTGTGAATGCAAAATTTATCATAATACGAGTATATAATAAGTCTCATAATATTTAGAATTAATTTAATAATATAAGTGAGAAGATTGGAACATAAAAAGTTAATAGCCGAAAATTTTATCTAAACAATTTGATTGTCGATCGATATTTCACTAAACAAATAATCTAACAAATGAATCAATGTATCCCAAGATGATATCTGATTAGTATTACACAACAATACTCTACTCGATTAACGAAAGTCAATCGCCCGAACATCAAACTCAGTTCCAATAACCTTATGGCCGTCTCAAAAATTAAAATTAGTTGTGGTAGAACATTAAAAATTCTATTGAAATTCAGAATTTGCTCATTCCTAAAGCTTGAACGCTAATTGTTTGAATCGATTATCTTTTTTTCCTATACACCCATAGTTTTTATTACCTTAGAAAAAAAAGCCTTTGTGGTTTTCGTAAACGCATTTGATCAAGTTCCAATTCAATAATGAAGATGACTGTTTTTGTTGTTTAATAGGGAGGCTGGACAAACAAAATCAAAAGTGCCGAGTCAGATGCATCAACGAAATTGAATGAGGCTTATGAAGTTGTTACATAACCGGTGCACTTTCGAGACGTCTTTCTGAGTTCTTGCATCAAGACGTCCATCCGTCCGACGGCAGACGTCTACAAGATTCGATCCTATCTATAAAAAGTCGCCGCCTACGATGTTCTTAAATCATCGTATGGCCTTCGTGGTACGTGTGTTGATGCGTTTTTGAGAATCTTAATTATTACTGGAATGTTTGCTGTGGCGCCATTGTATTTTGAAACAGTGACTTCTCCGGTTAATTGGTTCTCAGTATGTGATGAATTGTTTACTAAATTTAATATCCGTTAGACTAGCTGTATTAATAGAAAATCACTTAGAACTGTCATGATTAACGACGATAACATCTTATTAAATTTAGTCACAAGGGAATCCAGTGTGAGAACTAAAATGAATCGCGCAGAAAAAATCTTGCATAGCCAAAGTTTCATCATTTCGAACCTATTGTTAAAGAAAATTTTATAAAATAAGATTTAGCACAATTAACTTTATCGTCGAACATCATTAACTTAAATAAGGTTATCTACTATATTAAAGAACAATAAATTAAAAAGAATTTTTAATAATGCAAGTGATTAAATGTTATACAAAAAACTATAAAATCTATCAATTAATATTACATCAGGTAATACTTTATTTACAACTATTAATTTGGTTAAAGACAATGAACACGTTTGCCTTTCTATAAATTCACTTTCGTTAGTCTCAAGGAACTATAGTGCCAAACAAATAAATGAGGCAATGACCATTCTTTTCCTTGCTTAACGCTACTATCTTCCCTCATTGTTCTGCAACTAACTTACGTAAATCTGTGTAGGTAATGGTGTATGAACCAGTGATGTATCTCCACCTCGTTCACTAGGAAGTGAATCTGCTATTGTTCGATAACCCGTCCCTGTTTCGGACATGTTATCGTTTTACCGATTTGCTTGTTTTAATTAGAGAACATCACTGATTGAGTTTCATTGCAAAATGTTTATATCATTTATGATTGCAATGGCGAAATCGGATTCGTTGAAACGATTGGCAAGGGTTTTAACAATGGAACTGCAGTACCTATGTTTTGAATTAAGCAATCTGGCAACAGTGTCTATAAAGACATTACACAATGTCACGGTCATCTTAAAACGTGCTTAGAAATCGTGATGCGCTCCAAATGACCGATGCGATACAATGCAGTTCACATTAGAGTAATGTGCAAGCTTTAAAGCTTTTCCTCACTAATCTTTGTTTCAATAATGACCGAGGGAAGGAAATTATGTAATATGAAATTGTATATATTAAAAAAAGTATGGTGCAATACAAAGGTCGTTGCGATCATTAGCACGGAGATCAAAATAAAGTGAGTAAAATTATAAGGTACCACACTCTATGGAAATTAACAAAAGTAAGTTTATTATAGACGATTGAATTATTTCCTTTGTTATAACAATAATGCTATAGCATTATTGTTTTTAAAGTATGTTGTGATATATATTTGTTAGGATTATTAATTTGTAGTTCTAGAGTTATATTTCCCAATACACGTATATTAGGTATACACTTAAGATAATTCAGTAGAAATAATTTATGCGACTTAACATTTATATATTTAGATATTTTACCTCAATTAGATCTAAGCCAAGCTATTAGGAGGGCAGCCATGAAATTAATAGAGCCATGTTTCGACATCTTGCTTCGTAGATGTTCTTATTTGAACGGAAATGAATACAGCTAAACATTAATTTTGTAAGATTTAAGAATATTGCATCTTGGATATCGGAATAACCAATTTGATTTCAATGTTGATCAGAAACTTAATGAAAGGGAATTAAAATAAATCGATTATATAGAACATTAAAATAATTGAAAATATTATTGAGTGTACAAGGAAATTGAGAATGTAATCTTAAAATTTTTCTGTACTAAACTTTAAATCTTAGCATTTTTTTACAGAATTAGTAATTCTATGAGAGTAAAATATATATTTATTTATTCTATATTTACTATTTAAGAATATCGAACTACTATAGTTATAACTTATGGCATGTTAAATTATTCTATTATATTCACAAAATATTTACCTTGAATATCTTCTCCTGTTCCAGCGAATAGCCAGGCAACTTTAATATGTCCTGTCCTATAGCTGTCTCCTCGTTGGCAGTAGCTGCTGTACTCTTGACAAACACACTACTCTTAGAGTAGCGTCTGATGAGTATATTACCGGCGTCGTCCATTTTTATTTTGACACCCTGGAGAAACAAATATTTAATCAGCAATAGGAATGTTTTCAGACATTATTTCTTCAAGAAACATATTTGCACTAGCATTAATATATACAGCGAAGCATGTACGTTTTATTATGAAGAAGTTACGTCAAGTTAAACTAGATAATATGAAAAGTTTGTCGATAGCATTTGTCGTTTGGCTAAAGATTGTCAATGATGTTGGTACCGAGGGCCTCATATGCTTCCTAAGCGCAGAGGAGCTCAATAACATGAGTATTTCGCAAAAGTTGCTTAATCGAATAAATGCGTTGACCATTGTAGTTATCTGTTATATTATTAACTTAAGGACGATCACCTCTTGCAATGATTTTGTCAAGTACCGTTACATCGATGACATCACAATCATGTCATTTGTTTGTTAATCTAATAAATACAAGGTCATTGGCTCAAGACGGTATAGTTTTTATTGGCCCCACACCATTTGTCTTATTTTGATTAACGACATGACAGAACTTCTCAACAATAGAATAAGTTCCAATGGTCACCTGACCTATGACATCAGCGACCTTAAGGATTGGTGCATGTCAAAGTATTACTATTGTTTTGGTTATTACTTATGGGAACTAATTTTTAATGAAAATCACGGAACGTGTAACGTGGCAGGGATTTGAATAATTAATGATTTCAATTTTATTGTTGATTATTTTTAATTTTTTTTGATTTGACGAAGGATTGGATTTATTACTCATATTTGATTTCCTGTTTTGGACGACAACATCTCAACCTTTTTATGTAGTACTAGTAGTTTTAATATTTATTTCTTTTTAATTTACCTTGTTATGTCAATTCTAACAGAATTATTTAAAAAGATTCTAAACTGAAACTATAAATATGTGTGCAGGCACCATAGGACGTAATAATAGTAATAGTAAAATATTATATTTGTGCTGAAACCGTTTATTTGAGGTTTTTTTAGACAAATGTACCATTCAAGTCATGATCCATTTCAGTATTCCATTCTCTGACTTTTTATAAGAATCTCATGCCAACTCTCTGTAGCTCTGATGCGTCTAACTTTTCCGTGCAAGTGAAAACCTATTAACAAGGCAACTTCAAAAGCCGTTGATGATGATGAACTGGTTAGCGGGCAACGTCGTTTTCGTACAGTATCATAAAGTAAAGAACCGACGTCACCAATGTCAAAGAAATTTAAGCCAATGTATCCGTTTCATATTGAAGCAGTTTTAATGGCTTGCAAACAAACGGGTACATGATGTAAATATCATAGGTTTTTTACTCTGCTGCTAACAATAAAAAAAAATGAATATTATTTTATCTATAAGCGATCTGTCATTATTGAATGATGTATCGTGTTCTTTAACGAAAATCTAAACGTAGATGTAACTGTATCTTCATATGAAACTAATGCGGCTATGACAGCTAACCTTTGTTTATTCGATACATCGACCTTGTCATTTGCAACATCTACACCTCCTGGGAACTGACAATGATATTATTTGCATATCTGTCATTTATTATAAGATGAAATATCGACCCCTACTCTAAGTACCTGTAGCACTTTAGTTGGAGAAATTAATCGACCCCTACTTTAGAAAACCTACAATATTTACATCATGTAGGTACCCGTTTATTTGCAAGCCATTAAAACTGCTGTAGTATGTGAATATTAAGAATCAAGTTATAAACGTGATTTGGACGGAATGCACTAATATGCAAATAATTCACGTTCGATGAATGTGCTTCCTTAGCAGTTACATATCACGTACCCTAATATCCCCCTCTTAGATTTAAGTAGTATATAAGACGAATATTGTTTAGTTAATTAGAGATCTACAACCTGAAACATAGTATCATTTCTCCCGACCACGCTGGCGCTATTTCATGGCGACCGTGACCACGATGGTCCGAGTCTACAAAGTAGTGGTGTGTGTTGTGACATGGGACGGAGGTCAAGCTGTAAGTTATTTTCCTACATACTTATAATGGGATAGACAGCAAATGATTATTACTCCGAGATATAAAGAGATATGAAGAAGATGCAAGAAATTTTTAATAGAAGACATTGAAGAAACTGAAATGGTTGCAATATAAAAAGTAATTAAATGATAACGAAGAAGAAATGGCGGATAACCGAAGAAAAAAATATGTAAGAAGAATCTGATACTCAAGACGGTAACACGCCAAAATGTGAAGCTTGGATATAGAAGAAGGAAAATAGGAAGTGTTTATGGTGTCTGAAGAGCAATTGATTATTTTCGTATATTATATTATACCTCAATGGTAAAAATGTAAGTATTTCGTGTCGTAACTTTAATAATTGTTATAAAAATGCTACGTAATGTGTAAGTTTGCAGAAGTGTAAATTTTTAAATAATGGAGCAGTTTGACTTGCTTACGGCTGTAGAATTATTACCTATAATTTCGGGACAAGAAGAAGTTACACTATCTTTGATAGATAATATTGAGTACTATAGTAGCGTTATTGATGAAAATTCGCAACAATTTTTGATAAATTTTGTCCTGAAAACTAGATTATCATCAGTAGAAAAGTTTTATTTAAATTCGAATTATGATAACGTTGATAGTTTGATTACGGACATGAAAAGATGTCTTCTGCCGAAAAAATGTCCATCCAATATTCAAATAAAATTAATTAATTCTAGGCAAGGAAGTAGGTCTATAAAAGCGTATGGTTCAGAGATAGATAAATTATTATACGAGTTAACGTTAGCACAGTCGGAAAATGATAAAACGAAATATAAAATACTGCATCCTATAAATGAAAAGTTAGCTATTAGATGTTTTTCAGCCGGACTGAATAATAGTCGTATTAGTTTAATATTGATTGCTAGAAATTTTAAATATTTAAAAGATGCTATACAAGCAGCGTTAGATGAGAATTGTATTTTATATAGTAGCCAAAATAATTGGTATAATTATAATAATGTGTTTAAATTGAGTAATAATTCTCAAGATATAAAGAATAATAAAGTTATGAATCATTTAAATGATTCGAGAAAGCTAACTAGGTCAGATTTAGATTTTAGAGTATCACATGATAAGGAAACTCACTATGTAGCTGAAGAGAGCAGCTCTTCATGCAAGTCTTTTACAGACTTAGATAATTTGATCAAGCGTGATAGAAGTTTAAAGTCGGATGAAGAGATTTTTCATATAGATGAGAACTATTTTGATATAGCAAATAGAAATATTTTTTCTTTGGAGGATATTAAGAAAAAACCAATTAAAAATAAAAGTAAAATCGAGAATCTTAAAGTAGGCAAGAAATGTGCGCCTGTAGAACAGTTTAATCGAAAAACTAATTATTATGTAGATATATGCATCAAGGATGTATTTGATAAGGACATTAAGGATAAAAAATGTATTTTTTCTAGAAAAGGACTATGTGTTTATGTACCAATAAAATCAGCCATGTTTATTAAAACCTCGTCGCTTTTCGAAGGGAAAAGATTTATTAAAGATTTTGAGGTATTTTGTCGAGATATAAATGTTAAAGGCTTGATTATTGATGAGAAATGGTTTGCGAATTTGCAGAATCTAATAAATAAATATAAAGTGGTCCTACCAAACTTAATAGTGAAATGTCCGAGAGAAATTATTAATAGAAATTATTATAACAGTAAATGTGAAGAAAGTTATAACGAAAGTATAATAAATAAAACCGAAAATAATTCGGATGATTTACTGAATTCCCGGAAGGTAAAAATATAGACATAGAAGGGAATTATTTCGAACAAATGTTTGTAGATGAAAGATACGATAGAAATGCAATAGGCATTACTTAGAAATCGATAGTTTAATATTTGATTAATTGATGTTTTGCGTAATTAATGGTAATTAAATGTCAAAAATATGTTTATATAAAACTTACAACATTACAAAATCGATAATCTATAAGTTATGTAATATTTTCATATGTCAGCAAGGTCGCGGTAGTGAACATGATTTAATTCCAAAGTCAGCATAATAGTTGTGTACGCGCATAAATGTTAATTTAATTGTTAATTGTCAAAAGTCAATGTTCTTTCATACTTTGTTATTGTTTATCTAATGATAAGAATATTTCTTTTTTTTGTTGAAATTGTAACGATAGGAGAATTAACCGAGTTATGTTATACAAGAATATGGTAGTTTAATGTATTTTGCTATAGATTTTTTATGAAGTGAGCTGAATGATTTTTTTATATTAATTGAAGTTTATATAAATATTAAATGTTCCTGTTAAGTTTCTAAATTATAGTGATACGTGAAAAGTTGTATAATAGTAGTTTTAAACTAAAAAGGATCTTTTCAGGGGAGGGACACCTAACCTTTTCAGGGGAGGTGTAGTATGTGAATATTAAGAATCAAGTTATAAACGTGATTTGGACGGAATGCACTAATATGCAAATAATTCACGTTCGATGAATGTGCTTCCTTAGCAGTTACATATCACGTACCCTCATATCCCCCTCTTAGATTTAAGTTGTATATAAGACGAATATTGTTTAGTTAATTAGAGATCTACAACCTGAAACATAGTATCATTTCTCCCGACCACGCTGGCGCTACTGCACCTGTAGCACTTTAGTTGGAGAAATCAGAGACAATATAGATTTAGTAACATCCTGAGGCATTATTCTTTAGAAACTAGGTAATTCTGAATGTCAGGTTATACTCATCTAAATAAGTATGGTGTACTTTTTAATGCAATCCTAAAAGACAAATATTATTATGTTTATGACTTGGTTAATAAGAATGGACCGGTAACGGTATACTTCGTGTACCATAGCCGGTAGAGGGAAGTGTAGCAAGACACATGCTGACGAAACGCCCGCCTGTTAATTGTCGCGCGTCGGTTTCAAATACCGACGGCCCGTTGAGCCGTGTATAATTGATGTATGCTTATATGTTCCATTGTTTTATTAATCATAATCAAGCACGATGTTTTATTACAACCAACAAATATCACCTTCTTGTTTCAACTT